CCTGGAGGAGGGCATGGCAACCCACTCCAGTGTTCTTGCCTGGAGAATTCCATGGACAGAGGGGCCCAGCAGGCTACAGTCCATAGGGCTGCAGAGAATTGGATATGACTAAAGCGACTTAGCATACATAGCACACTGCTTTACTGCCCTATACGTGGGAACGTCGGTACCGTCTTTCCAGATCCCATTTACATGTGTATCACAGCAGACAGAAGGCAACTCTCCTCTGCCATGGTTCCTTCCCAGATGGCCTGGGCATGGATTCAGAGGGGAGAGCAGAGGCCAGAAGAGGAGGGACAGTCGTCTCCCAGCCGTCAGCCCGCCCAGGCCCAGGCGGGAACTGCCCTGCATCCTCCATCTAGGTGACAGCAGGAGTGCAAATAGGCAATTAATTACTGCCTGGCGGCCACTGACTCCTCTTCGCCTCTGCTCAGCCAAGTGTGTAATGGAAATGGGACCAAAACAGACTCTCCCGCCCAGAGGGACCCTGGCCCTGATCAGCAGAGGATTCGCTCCAGGGGAGCCAGGGAAGGGGCTAAGATGCAGAGGGGAGTTTATCAAATCAATGAGCTTCCCCCAGCACCCCATCCCTCACCTTCCCCTGACTTTGGGCTGCAACACAATCTTCCCAGGGCCCCACTCAGAAGAGGGCCCTCCCTAAACTTCCCTGGTGGTCCAATGGATAAGAATCCGCCTACCAGGGCAGGGGACATGGGTTCGATCCCTGGTCCAGGAAAATCCCACACGACGCAGGGAAACTAAGCCCTAGAATAGTGACTACTGAGTCCACGTGCCTAGAGCCTGTGCTCTGCAACAAGAGAAACCGCCACAATGAGAAGCCCACCACCTCAACGCAGAGTAGCCCCCAAGTGCTGCAACTAGAGGAAGCCTGTGCCCAGCAGTGAAGACCCAGTGCAGCCAAAAATAAGTACATAAATATTAAAAAAAAAAAGAAAGAAGAAGAAGTAGGCCCTTCCTAGCAGCCTGAGTATAGGAGTGTCGTTGACATTCATCTCAGGCCGTATCCATAGCAATGTGTTGGGGACTGCCCTACATACTTTACAAACATGATCCCTTTAAATCATCAAGTCAGTCTTTTTGATGTAATTTTTTATCCCTATTTTACAGATGAGAAAAGTTGTGGCCCAGAGAAGTGAAATGGGCTCTCAGAGGGTGGGATAATGTAGTGGATGGAGTAAAGACCCACTCAGGTCCCTGACTATTCATTTGACCCAGGGGAGTTACTGAATTTCTCTGTTCCTCAGTTTCCTCATTTACAATGCAGTGATGATGGTCATACTCACCTCACGGGGTAGCTAGGACAGTGCTCCATGTGAAGCATTAATGAATTGTAGCCATGTGGCTTTAGGAGGTAGCTGCTATTATATTCTTGTTCTATCATAGCTTTAAAATAGTAAATGCACCAGAGGCATAAAGAGGATCATAATACATACTATTTGCACCCCAGGCACATGGCAAACACCACAAGGTACCAAGGAATTTTTCATTTAGACCATCTCAGGCATATTCTTAATCTTAATACCCTGTCTTCTATGTCCCTCACTAGCCAACATCTCAGTTGGTTATTATTTCTGTGCTTTGTACTAAGAATATAATGGGAATTTCCAGAGGAGCCATGTAAATTCTGATGATGAATTTGCTTTTATAAAACTCAGACACACACACACCCTTGCTAGAGATTCTTAGAAATCTTCCCTCCCAACCTAGTTGAAAAATCCTTGCCCCAGAATAGGGAAAATTGACTCCCCCAGCCCTCCATAAAAGCAGACTGATGGCTGTGTGGGTAAGGTGTAATAAAGGTAAGAAAGGGAAAGACCCCGTCCAGATCACAGTCCTACAAAGGACGAGTCTAACTAAACTAAAGCAAGGGCTTCCCTGGTGGCTCAGATGGTTAAGAGTCTGCCTGCAATGCAAGAGACATGGGTTCAATCCCTGAGTTGGGAAGATCCCTAGAGGAGGGAATGGCTACCCACTCCAGTATTCTTGCCTGGAGAATCCCATGGACAGACCCTGGTGAGCTATAGTCCATGGGGTTGCAAAGAGTCAGACTTGACTGAGCAACTAAAACAAACTAAATGAGCCGGGGACTGTCCCCTCCCCCCACTCACAGCTTGCTGGCGGTGACTTGGCTCCTCCCAGCCTCTGAGCCCTGAGGAAGGGGGTCTGGGCTAATTCATTTCTGCTGCCCCAGCATCTTGCATGGGCTCCAGAACAGAGCAGGAGATTGGTGAGCACCAAATAAATGGATGGATGAAAATGACACATCTATTTGGGGGAAGCTGTAGAATATAAAGAAAAGAAAGAAGGAAAAATAATTAGAGAATGCTATTTTTAGCTCCTTCAGAATGTTAAGTAGCTTCTCTATTCTGATGTGAAAGATCTCCAAAGATAATTAGGCAAAAAAATATTAATACACCCAAAAGGAATAACAGGGTATAGAATGCACTACCTCTTGTGTGACTAAAAAAGGAAAAGGACAATAAGAAAATATATTTGTACTTGTTTGTATATTTCCATTTGTGGTGTAGGCAAATGGGAAGAAACCAGTAACAGTAGCTGGGGAGAATCAGAAGGTGGGTGGACAGGAAACAGGCATGAGAGGAGACTTTTGACTGTATACATTTTATATATTTTCTTCTCAACCATGTTAACAAAACTAAACCAGGAAAGGAAAAAAAAACAGGAAATATCCGCTCCAAGAAAATGCTAACTGAGAGTGGCCCTCTTGTTTGGAGAGAAAAGAATGCTTAGTTAATACCTAGTTACAGCTCATCTTCTCAGGGACTTAGCTTAATTAAGGGCTTGGACATCCCCTAACCTATTGATCTTGGCCCAGAAAGCGTTAGGTGAATTCCCCAGAGCCCTGAGCTTTCCAGAATCATTTCCCTAAATTCCACATCTCTCTTGTCATAGCCTCTGCATCCTTCACGATGGCAGTGGGACAGATGGCAGGAAAGAATTCTTGGAGGGGATCAGAGGCCAGCTTAGAGGAGGGGCAGGAAGGGGAAGAAGGGAAGGGCCTGATCACAAGAGGCCAAGGAACAAAAAGAAGCAAACCTCACCGCGTTCCTGCCTTCCTCACCCCTCCCTGCCACATCCACCTGCTGAGAAACATTGAAAGATCCAATATCTTAGAGAGAGGCTTCCGCCAACCAGCCGTGGACTCTGATCTCCAGGAGCAGGGAGCACCCCCCTGATGTCAGGGTTACGTTTCTAACAGCCCAGCGTGGAGGTCGCACCAATGCTTTTACACAGCATTGAACGTGGAAGGCCCAGCTGGGGGTAGAGAGCAGGGGTGGGATGTGGGGGGTGGCAGGTGGGATGGGGCATGACCTGTAGCATCTGCACCTGAGGGCAGCATTGATTTAGGAGTCAGAGGGAGGAGGCCAAATGCTGGGGCTGACTCCGAGGGCCTTGGGCGCTGTTCAGGCACAAGGATCTCTCCCTGTCTACGGAATCGAGACTCGGAGACCCTGCAGAGAGGACCTCCTGCCTCAAGCAGGCCTATGGCTTGTGAATGTCTAACATGAAAGGACATCCTCTGCAGGAGGCCCTTTGGTGAGCACATTCATTTGACTTTTACATCTCTGCATGGAGGAGGCTCCTTGCCTTTCAGTGACCTTCTTTTTTTAGCATTTATTTATGTATCTGGCTGCACTGGGTCTTAGTTGAGGCGTGAGGGATTTTTCGCTGCAACATGCAGTCTCTTAGCTGTGACTGATGGGATCTAGTTCCCCAACCAGGGATCAAACCCAGGCCACTTGCAATGGGAGCGTGGAGCCTTAGCCACTGGAGCCCCAGTGAAGACCCGTAGTGACCTTCATTTAACAGAGTAGCCCAACCTGTGAGTCCCTAAGAGAACAACCCCTGTCTTGGTCTGCCGCTGCCAAGATCAGGGCCAGAGGGAGGCCTCCAGCAGGCTTGTAGAGAACCCCATCCTTTGAGCCCTGCCCTAAAGCCCCTGCCGTGAAGTCATCCCCCTGGCGGCGGTGACAGGCTGGGTCTGGGGCGTGGTCTCTGGTATGAACAAATGCCCTTTTCAGAACAGGGTCTGTTCCAAGGATGGATCGCCTATGGGATCCAGCCTCACATCCCCACATGTGAGTGTCAAGTCCTCTTAGGCTGAACATGATCAAAGCTGGTAATAATGACAACGGTATTAATCACAGCCACCATTTATTGAGTATTTACTACAAGGCATGGGACTTTCATGCACATGATTTTATTTAAACCCTACGAACCAGGGTGACACTAGCTGCCAGACAGCTGGTCCACCTCTGGTGGTGACAGCTATGACATGAGAGGCTTGGGAGCTGTTGGCAGTTGTGTTCCCTTGACATGGAAGAAAAAAAAAAGGGGACACGTTAAGGAAACAGAAGTGAGTAACAGAGGGGATCCCTGGTCCCAGCTCCTCTGAGGCCACACTGCTTCCTGTTCTTCCAGAATTACCTGAGGCCCTAGCATCCTCCCAGGAATGCCCCTTTAGACTAAACTAGTGGCTGAGGCCGAGGATAAATTAGAAACTACATTTAATGAGATGCTACATTTTACGAGATAATGCATTTAGCACATTAGATGGGAAAAGGCAGGCCTCAGTAAGTGGTAGCCGCTATTATTTTTAATGAATAATTTTCTTTATTCAGAACAATACACAGTTGAAAATCAGTTGCTATCACTTAAGAGAGCAAAGACCCAGCTCAAATACACACCCTAACAGGCAATCTGTCTGTGTGGTGCAGAAGGGCAATTCTATTTTCTATGTACTGTTTTGAGCAGGGTGGTCTTAGAAAACCCCTTGGACAAGACAGGCTTGTGAGACTAGGAGAGTGGAAAGCATTCCAGTAGAGGGTACGGTCTGGACAATGGTCCAGGGGCTGGGATGAAGAGACAGGTCCCACTGAAGTATAGATGGGGCAGCCCAAGACACAGCCTCACCTCTTCCTGGCTCAGGGCTTGGGGGCCAGGGATGCTAGGCATACCCGCTTGGTCATGGCTGTCAGGACAGTGGTTTGTCTGGAGGCCCCTGGAAGAGCCTCCTCCATGGCAGACTCTGCGCTGAGCTCCAGGATATAAGGATGAGTGAGACGCAGGCCACACCTCTCTGTATCTGCAACAGGCCAGGGCAAAGCACAGAGCGTGGTCAGAATACTTCAGAGGGGCAAACCCCAGACTTGGGGAATCAATTGAAGAGGGCTTCCTGGAGGAGGCGACATCTAAGCAGTGACCTAAGAAAGCATAGTAAATAATACAAGCTAATATCCATGAAGGTTGTAATACATGTGAGACATTTTAGATGCTTTATCCCCTTTAATGTAATCTCTCTGCCACTCTGGCAGGAGGACCCGGTTATTGACAGATGAAGATGCTGATTTTCTGTTAGGTGAAGTGAATCTCCTGGCCAGAGCTACAAAGTGAAGATTGGATTTGCAGATGGCCCTGCCTGCTTTCTGGGCTTCCCAGGTAGAGCTAATGGTAAAGAACTTGCCCGTCAATGCAAGAGACATGAGAGACATGGGTTCAATCCTGGGGTCAGGAAGATTCCCGGGAGGAGGAAATGGCAACCCACTCCATTCTTGCTGGAGAATCCCATGGACAGAGGAGTCAGGCAGGCTGCGGTCCATAGGGTCGCACAGAGTTGGACACGACTGAAGCAACTTAGCACGCACTACCTGCCTTTCAGTGCGGGTTCTGAACCACAGAAACGAGAAGAGAAGTGGGAGTGGGGGTGGGAAACTGGACAGAGATCCAGTTCTCCTGCTGGGTAGGAAGATGCTGAGGCAGCCTGGGGTCAGGACACACAGGGTCTTCTTGGCTGTGAGTGCAAGGAAGGGAGTTTGGATTTCATCATAAATGTGGTTGGAGGATAGAGGGCCAGACTTGGCTTTAGAACTCCACATCACGCCCTCAGGTGGTCTTCGGTGCAGGGGATGCTGGTGCATAGGCTCGGGGTGGGGGGGGGGTAGTCACTGCCTACCTAAAAGACAAGGTTTCCTTCAGGGACCCTCCTGTCCCTCGCAGCCCTCCTTGGGGCTGGGGGCTGGAAAGAGGCAGCTAAGGGGCTGCCTTCCAGCTGCCTTGCTCAGACTTCCTTCCTCTCGAGTGAGGAGCGAGCTGGGGCTTCGCAGCCAATCACGAAGCCCACCCTAAATAAGCCATAATGACTCTTGATTGCTCCTTTGTCGCTGGCTGGCTCTCAGCCCCACTTCCATCTGAAGCTGTGGGGAGGGGGAGGGGGACCAGGCAGACCAATGTGTGCACTGGTTTCCTATTTTAGGATAAATGCATGAGCTGGGGGGCTGAGCCCCCAGGCTCTCAGAAATCCAGGTGCCAAGCACAGAGGAGCGGGGGTGGGTGTGGAAGTGAAGAGAAGCAGCTCCTGCAGTGGGCAGGGACTGACAATCTACAAGGCATCTCTCTGACTAGAGGGCAGGATCACATCCCTCTTTGACTAATGAGTAACTGAGGCTCCGAGAGGGGTTAGTGTCCAATCATAGATTGTATATAATGGGACCAAGTAGGGTTTCAACAATTAATTCAGTGGACCAACATTTATTCAGCACCTATGTGTCAGGGGCTTCCCTGATAGCTCTGTTGTTAAAGAATCTGCCTGCAATGCAGGAGACCCGGGTTCGATTTCTAGGTTGGTAAGATCCCCTGGAGAAGGGAGCGGCTACCCACTCCAGTATTCTGGCCTGGAGAATTCCACGGTCTGTACAGTCCATGGGGTCGCAAACAGTCGGACACGACTGAGCGACTTTTACTCTGTCAGGCACTGTACGAGGTGTTAAATATAAACCTAGAGCTTTGCCCACTGTGACCACAAGAATAGCTCACTTTTTCTGGGTAAGTTTAAAAAAATTTTTTTATTGAAATATAGTTGATTACACTGGGAAGACCCAGAAGAATCGGGTGGAGAGGGAGGTGGGAGGGGGGATCAGGATGGGGAATACATGTAAATCCATGGCTGATTCATGTCAATGTATGACAAAAACCACTACAATATTGTAAAGTAATTAGCCTCCGACTAATAAAAATAAATGAAAAATAATAAAATAAAAAAAGAAATATAGTTGATTTATGAGAATAGCTCACTTTTATCGAGCACATACTTCGTGCCAGGTGCTTCCCTACCTACTTTTCACGTGCTCTCTTGTTAATCCTTCCGCCAACACTGTGAAGTAGGGTGAAACAGGTACTTGGAGGGGCGGGAAGTGTTTGTCTCCATCCTAAAGGGGCGTGTGGGGGGAACGGAGACTGAGAGGCTGAGAAGATGAGAGAGGTCCAAAGGGGAGGAGGGGTGACCTCATGATGGAAGACTGCGGGGGTGACTCCAGGATATCCGATCAAGAACTCACATCCTGTGTAGAGTAGAGAGCCTGGGTGACCTGATCAGAACACACACACACACACACACACACACACTTGCATCGTGTTGTATTGAAGATCCTACTTGAACACAAAGCAAAAGCCTCTTGCACATCTTCTTCCTCTGGACTCTGTATGCAGCTCTGAGAGCTGACCAATTAAACAATCAATGTTCTACTCCTTGCTCCCACTGACAGGACATCCTTTTAGGACAATCATTTTTATTCCCATTTAACAGCTGAGTAAACTGAAACTAAGGAATCCTGAGTCACCCGCCCGGTCACTCAGCCAGGAGTGGCAGAGTGGAGTCTGGGGCTGAGCTCTGAACCAAACTCCCCCTCGGGCTGTCTCTGCACCTGTTCGTTGTGGGTTCTCTCAGTACCTGGCAGAAAGTAGGGAGCAGCTCAGCCCAGCCCCTCGCGGTAAAATGGCAAACCCCTTCCTCCTTCTCCTCCCGCTCCCCACGGTCCAGCTCCACTCAGAGCTATTAACCAGGTCACGCTGGCTTGTCCCAGTCCAACAGTTCCCTTAATTGCCTTTTTATAGCATGTCGTACCACTGTTCATTATGCTGTCATATTTCCCCTCGAAGGCAGCAGTGGGGGAGCTGAGCCGAGGATGGGGACCCGTGCAGGTGGCAGGGGTTGTGGTGGGGGGTGCATCAATGTGTGAAGCTTATTTTCTACTTGGTCAGAATGAATTAAACGCACGCTTCTCACACTTGACTAATACGCGAGCTGCTCTTAAAGGGGGAAGAAAATCACAGCCCCTGCCCAACAGTTGACAAATTATCTTTATTATGATTTTACTGAAATATGCACAAACATAAAGCTGGGTATAAATCCTTATCCTTTTAGCTTTATACAACTGGAAAAGCAAGCACAATGTGCCCACGTGACATGAAGAAAGCTACAAAATCAGAAATTTCAAAATGACACGATTAATTTCACGTGATGGATGATGCCTTGCTGAAATTAAATCGCCACTTGCACAGGGAATATGGTTCTGTATGCTTCAGCATTTGGTTCTCCTCTGTCCTTTTGTCATAAGGGCTATGACAAAGCATTATTTGGTCATCTAGTATCTGCTGGTAGATTGTTTAGATGTAAAATAACACAACATAAAATCCATCAATTCTGGGTGAGAGTTCATACAACCCAGGTTAAGAAACAATGTCCCAGGAGCCTTTATCAGCTGTGCTAGGCTAAGTCATCCTTGGAGGAAGAACCATGTGTTCTTGGGGCTGGAAAGCCCAGGACACAGGGCCTAGCCCTCGAAGGCCACCCAGACTTGTGAAATGTGCAAGTTCTCCTGAGTACCTACTCTATGCCTGCACTGTGCCTCCCCCGACTCCCTGTCCCAGAGAAGTTGCCTGGGTGGCTGGGAGGAAGATGAGTGTGGCCAGAGTAGACATTTACAGCTGTCAGTGCAGGGAGCAGGCCCAAGAACAGACAGGGAGATCTGCCTGGCCAGTGGGAGCCAGATCTGGACTTGAGTCCCTCTCTGGAGTCCAAGGCCTGAGCCCTTCCCGGCGGACTCACCTAGAGAGTGGAGGTTATAAGATCAGTTCTGGTTCTGGGTTTGAATCCTGGATCCACCACTCCCTAGCTGTGAGATCTTGGGCAAGTTACTTAACTTCTCTGTATGCCAGCATCCTCCTCTGTAATGAAACCTACCCAAGCTCATAGAGATGCTACAAGGCGACAGTGAGAGAACACAGACAAAGCAACTCATTCTAGAATTTGGCATGGAATAACCATTGGCTAACTATTAATGTTGATACCTCACCTGACTCCAGCTCTCAGCAGAACTGGACAAGAAAGAAACTCCTAGAGTGACCCCTTAGGCTGGAGATCATAGAGCGATCATGAGTGGGCTATACAGGATTTGAAACTCCGTGCCACATTTTCTCTGTATCTCTAGAGGGAAGATCTTCAGCCTCATCAGATGTTCAAGGAGGCTGTGACCTAGAAAAATCTTAGGCGACTGAGCTAGTGCTAGCCAGGGGCTGGCAGGTCACTCAGTATCTTAGCTTGAGCAACATAACAAAATACAACAGACTGGGTGGCTTACACAACAAACATTTATTTTCTCACCATCTGAAGGCTGAAAGTCTCAGATTAAGATGTGGCAGGGTTGGAACTTCCCTAGTGGTCCAGTGGTTAAGAATCTGCCTTCCAATGCAGAGGACGTGGGTTCGATCCCTGGCCAGGAAATTAAGATCTCACATGTCTCATGGCAACTAAGCCTGTGTGCTGCAGCTACTGAGCCCATGCACTCTGGATCCCACAAGCTGCCACTAGAGAAGTGGGGTGCTGCAACAAAGACCCGATGCAGCCAAATAAATAAATTTTTTTTAAAGAAAGATCTGGCAGGGTTGATTTCTGGTGAAAACTCTCTTTCTGGTCTATATATAGATGGCCACCTTCTCATAGTACTCATATGGCAGAAAGAGCAAATAAGTTCTGGTACCTCTTCTTATAAGGTCACCAATCCTATTTTATCAGGGCCCCATCCTTATGACCTCATTTAACCTTACTTATTTCCATAGAGGTCCTATTCCAAATAGTCACTTTGGGGGTTAGGGTTTCAACATAATGAATTATGAGAGGACACAGTTTGGTTCACATCACTCAGGGAAATGGGTTATCTGGGTGAGGGAAGGTTTTGACCAGTATTGGTCCTTCTAAGCAAGGCTCATCTCCAGTTCCCCTGGCTCCCCAAGTCTAAGATCTCCCACTCCCATCATCCTTCCAACCTTCTCCCTTCCCCTGCCTGTGCCCAACCAGCACCGTCTCCCTATGTCCAATCCTGCGATTCCTACCTGCAGCCTCTGAAGATGATAGTCGCTGAACCTAAGGATTGTGGGCATTTAAGGAAACAATCCTCAGAGTGCTTTCAAACAATGCCTGGCATGCAAAGAGCACTCACTAAAGGTTAGCTCTGCACCAACAGGTTTGAAGGTCCAGGAGGTCAGACCCACAGCACCTTTACACTCCTGGAGTCCAGGGGCCAAGCATCAAGGCTCACTGGAGTCACAGCCTCCACTCAGCAGTCTCTCCCAGTTACAACTGGTGACTCAAGTATGCCTAAGGTTGCTGAGAGGTCTTCAAAGAGTCCTTGAATCTGGGTGTGTACCCCAAACCCTCTCTGTACAAAAATCACTCTCATATGTGTCTATGTATAACTGACCTTCATCTATGTAGAAGGTGATGTAAGCATAAAAGATGAATCCATTTAGCAGAGCTACAGAACTCAGACTTCAGAGCTGGATGTGTTTCTTCAACCAATTATCCTAAAAGTTCAGGATGGGGGGAATGGTTTTGGAATGTGGACTGAATCCAATCCATATGTTTATTGAGTGTCTGCAGTACACTGGGAACCTGGTGGGGAATGAGGTCACCATTCTTCCTGCTTCCCAATGTAATAGAAAACTGTGTTTTCATAATGGCAGGAACTCTTGGTCTAACCCACCAAGCCCGATCCAGGGCTCCTTCCTCAGTTCTAGGCAGCTTCTTCTGGTTTCAAAGGCCAGGCCAGCCTGGGTGCCCAATGTCCCCTGCTCCCTGGTCCCTTCTTAGAGCCATTCACACAAAGGCACAAAGCTGGAAGCCCAGAAGTCATGGAATCCAGCCTCTCCTGCCCTGAGGCCGGACTCCACTTGCTCTCTAAGAGAACATATAGCCTCTGCCTGCATGCCTCCAGAGACGAGATGCTTTCTATTTCTGCACAGAAAAGTGCCAGCATTTAAAAACTCATTTAATATATTTTAATATGTTTTACCCTGAACTAGCAGAGACAGCATCTTCACCACCCATGATGCCCCCTGATTTGTCTCTCCAAAGGGAGAAGAATCGGGGTCTTTGTTCTGGGCATGGATTACCCACTTGGAGTCCTCAGCCTTGCGGCCTATCTGCCCTGGTGCCATGGACACAGCATCAGGAAATTGGATTCTGGTTTGAGGCAAGACTTTCTCAAGCCAATGCCCCAGCTTGACGGGGGGAAGGGCAGAGGGTGATTTATAGAGTCAGTGGCTGCCCCTTTAGCAGGAAAAGGCTCACCACCATCTATGCTCTGAAAAAGGAAAAGGAGGGGGTCTGTCTAATCATTCAGCCCCGAAATGATGCTCATGATGTTGGCTTTCCAGGCCATTAATTCAAGGGCTCCATGCCGCCCCCCCCCCCCCATGGTGCTGCCTGCTCTGGGAGATAAGCCTGGTTCTATTTAACCCTATTTATTCCCCCCCCCCAAAGTGTCCTCCATCTCTGCTAGCCAGGTTTTTAACCCTTTGGGTACCAAAAGCATCAAAAATAGAAAAAAAAAAATCTCATGATGGGAGAGGGACCCCCACCGCGGGCTCCAGGTGGTGGGACTGATTCTCAATACAGTTCATAGAACTTGGCAGTGGTCCTGGGAGTCCCTCACTGCTCCCTCTGAGGCAACCTAGGTCCCCCAAGAGAGAGGGGAGCCCCCACCCCTACTCCCAGGACAGACAACAGGGACTGTTCCTGCTCCCTCACCCCAACTCCCCACCCCATTGTCTTAGTCACAGAACTAGGTTCTGACATTGGCCAAGAGGAAGCCTGTGGCATCTCTCTCTCTTTTGTGTCCCACTGGCTGCTGCCTCTGCCTGTCATGTCCTGCTCTGTCTCCCTGCTGCCTCTTCTAGCATTTTCCTTTTCATGTCTCCTCTGCCTCGTTCCTCTCTTTGTTCTCTCCTCTTTTCCCCTTCAGTGATCACATGGGGGTATTCTTGCTTCTGTGGGTGCCTGACGATTCATTGGTTGCTGTGAATCTGTGTGTGTGTTCCTGTGCTGGGTGTCTATCAGCGTGTGGATGCCCTGGCCTGTGTCTGACCTGTGTGTGTTGCTCCGTCAATCTGTGTGAATCTACCGATGTACTTGAATCTGTGTGTTGGATCTCATTTCTTAGTGCATCTGTCAACTGGCTTGTCATGCTCCGTGTGCGAGCAGATGTGTGTATGTGTGTGCTGTGTTTCAACTCAGGGGGCCAAGCGGCTGCAAATTCCTCTCTTGAGGGTGCCCCTAGAGGAGCTAGTGGAAGAATCTGGAGGCTGACAGCTTCACTAGAGCACAGACTGGCTCATGACCAGCTAGGTAGGTCGTCCTGGTGGTCTCCTGAGGCTGCTTGCCAGGCCCCCTGCCCTCTGCCCTCCTCCTGTCCTTCATCCTTTTCTCTTAAGGTCACCCCAGGACTGGAAGGGGTGAGGACAGGGAGGCAAGGCAAAGCCAGAAGGAGTGCATTCAGCTCACTTCGACTCTCAGCCCCAACCGCAAGGCTTTTTCTTGTTGTACACTCACTTTCCTCCCAAACAATGAAAAATGGCCACTGGGTTATAGCAATAACAACAATAATAAAATAATCACTACCATGTATTGGGCCTTTAGCACATGCTAGGAATTTTACATACACAAGCTCGTTGAATTACCTCAAGAAATCTAGGAGTCTGTTGTTATTTTCACATTTTAGTGATGAGAAAATGGAAGCTAGGAGATGTTAAGTGAGTCATCCGATGTCACACGGCTAGTACGTGATGGAGCAGGATTTTGCCATAAGGGATGGGCTGTTCAAGAGCTTGCCACACCAGCCTTCAGCCTGCATTTACTGCCAACAGCAGGAGAGGAGGGAAGCAGAGGCATTCCTCCCCCAGCGGCTGGCATTTGATTGCAGCTGGAAGGACTGGAGTCTAATTTAGAATTGTGTCTCTCTGGACAGTGGGGTGGCCAAACACCAAACAAAGAGGGAGCGGGCACGGAAGGACAAGATGAGATCGTGGAGGGGAAGCACAGTGGAGGAGCATCAGAGTTCCTACATCCTAGCCTGGCTTTACCCTAGACTCTATGTGACCTTGAGCAGGACACCCTCTTACTGAGCCTGGGTTGGCTCTTCTGTACAATGAGAATGAAAGTGAGGCTTTGTCTGGGATGTTTCAGGGGTGGTTTAAAACACTGCAGAGACGGTGATTGGCCTCAGTTCTCCCTGAGGTTCTCCCCACCCAGACCCAAGAACTGGGGTTAGGAGTAGTGACAGGGGCCATGCCTGTATCATCTTCAGCTGGAAGAGAGTTACACACACACAGTAGGGCTTCAAGAAGGTTTGCTGAATGAATGAAGAAATGAGTGAATGAATGAGTCCCACTTCTCACTATTAAGAGAACTGCACCTTGGGTCCTACAGCAGTGAACATCACCAGAAAAAAGGAAAGAGAGAATAAGCACTCTGGACCCTCATAAAATCCACACACGAATTGGCAATGCCCAACTGATGCACGAGACATGCAACAGAGGATGAGATGGTTGGATGGCATCACCGACTCAATGGACATGAGTTTGAGTAAGCTCTGGGAGTTAGTGATGGACAGGGAAGCCTGGCGTGCCTCAGTCCATGGGGTCACAAAGAGTCGGACACAACTGAATGACTGAACAGAACTGAACTGATGCATAGATGTTATTGATTCACTTGTCAAAGAGGGCATCAGTGACCATCTTCAGGTCTGGGCATGCATGGGGTGGAAGGGGGCACTAGGGGACTCCAGTCCCTGCCCAGATCATCTGTGCAACTAAAGAATTTCACCAAGAACAGAAAAGGGAGGGACGAGGATTAGGTGATAGAGATTTTTGTCTCTAGGAATCTGTAAGTGAAAGATTCTCTCTCTTTCTCCAGCATCTGGGGTTGGAAATGGGGAGGGTCTCTGTATAGGGTGAATTCCTGGGATGGAAGATCAGACTTTTTTTTTTTCTTCAAAGCCTCTTTGGAGGAGTGAATCTCTATTTGGGGGAAGGATCTCTGTCCTGTCTTTGTTCTGAGTCCCATCATTGTTTGGAGGATCTGAATTTGAGAGGGCTCTGTGGAAAGGTTTTCTTGTCACAGTGGCTGGGAAGATGCTTCAGGTTAGGACAGACGATTTCTGTCTTTCTGCCCGGCGGGTTCTTGGGGAAGAGGGTATTTAAGAGGGCGCTGGGGGCGGGACGGGGAGAGGGAGGGAGGTAGAGGGAAGCCTGTCTTGCCCTGGCAGCTCCAACTGGTCAAAGCCCTCAGGCCGCCCTACTTGTGCGCTGACGTGAGCTAATCTAGAAATACAGCCGGGGAGGCAGAGACGGGGTTTCTCAGAGAGCTTGGGTCTTGGGAAGGGGTTCACTAGAGCCCCTTTCTTTTCGTTTCCTTCAGATTCTCCCCATCCTACCCCCAGTCACAGCCACTAGCTCTCCTCCACCTCGGCTGGCAGGGCCAGGTCGCTGACGCTGCTGCTGACCGCTTGAGTCCGGGGGCAGGAGCCCAGCTGGGAACACATGGAGCCGCGGACCCGCACGGAGACACGACTACAAAAGGACTCCTACAGGCAAAAACGCAAGCAACTCATTCAGGAATGCATCTACACATACAATTCAGCACACAAGCTCTGTGCACACAGGGTCTTAGATGAGGCGCAAAACCACACATTCACAGAATAAACACGGTTACCAAATCTCACCCTCGGAGTCCACTCAGATCCGGCCCGGAGCAATAGCTGATACCATGTCGGTCTTTGTCTCTGGGTCTTTCTCCTACTCTCGAGCGCACACACATGCCACCCACTCAGCAGAAACAGTCTACGTTTTCACTGCCCGTGGCGGCCGCGGGGCCAGCAAGGCCGGAGCGCACCGCGCGTCTCTGCGCCCTGGGCCCTGAGCCCTCAGCGAACCCTTCTTTCCTCTGTGCCAGGCACTGGCCGCGCCTTTCCGCGGCGCCAGCACTCGCAGACCCGCCTCGAGGCTGTCGACAGGTGCCTTCCGTTCTTCCTCCTTCCAGACTTCCAAACGAAAAGAAAGCGAACAGCCAACCTTTCGCCTTCATTCTGCACACGTTTGGAGAAGGGCTGGTGGCAAACAAACCGCAGAATCACTTCCATCGCGGCGTCCCTGGACGGGAGGAGACAGCCCCAGTGACCGAGGCCGGGGCTGAGCCTTCTTGAGAGTGGTCCCCCCACTTCTGTCGCACCCTTCTGCCTTCAAGGCGGGGGCTGCTTGCGACCAGGTCCAAGTGCCAGTGATGGGTGCCAGGGAGACAGAGCGATGCCCTGACGGTCCGCGCTGCCGGAGACAGGTAATTGTCCTGCTGCCTTCCCGGGCGTCTGGACCGGTCCTTGGCCAGAGGATCCGGGGCTGAAAGGCTCCCGAACTCTGGAGGGGGTAGCCGGGACAGGGGACCGAGAGAATCCGCCCGCTCGGGCCCCCTCCCTCCCTGCGGCTGCGAGATGGGAAGGGCCAGGATCGGAGTTTAGCACCTCCCCCAGAAATGCAGCACTTTGGCCCCCACCCCGCCCTCTGCACCCCTCCTTCGCGCGCTCCCTCCCGCTCCCTTCCGTGGGCGCCCGTCTCCGGTCCCCATCTCGGTCCTCCGGAGTCCCTTGGTGCCCCCTGTCTCTTCTCCTTGCCCCCTCCTCACGCCTCCTGCCTCCCGGTGTTTCTGCCTCCCCAGCACCCCCCACCCCCATCCCCGCCTGATTCCGAGGGGCGGGAGCGCTTTGGGCTGCGCGCGGGTGGGGGGGCCGCGCCAGCTTCGCGTAGCCGCTCTGACGCCGCCGTCGTCGTCGCCGCCGCCGCCCTCCGCAGCCCAGCCCGCGCCCCGCGGCAGCTCCGCAGTGCACTCGCCGCCGCCGCTCCGCCAGCCCCGCTGCCCGCCCGCCAGGTCGGCCTCGAGCGAGCCTCAGACGCCAGCGGAGGAGGTCATGAGCCACAGCGCCCCGGGGCGCCGCGGGGAGAGCGAGCGAAGATAGCGCCCTCGCACCCCCCTGGCCCTCGCCGCCTGGCCGCGCGTCCCCCGGATCCCCGGTCCCTGCTGTCCTCTCCTCGGGGTCCGCCGCCGCCATGGCCAACCTGCTCCGCAGCAAGCTGTCCAATGTGGCCACGTCCGTGTCCAACAAGTCCCAGGCCAAGGTGAGCGGCATGTTCGCCAGGATGGGTTTTCAGGCGGCCACCGACGAGGAAGCGGTGGGCTTCGCGCATTGCGACGACCTCGACTTTGAGCACCGGCAGGGCTTGCAGATGGACATCCTGAAAAGCGAGGGCGAGCCCTGCGGGGACGAGGGCGCCGAACCACCCGTCGAGGGAGACATCCATTACCAGCGCGGCGGTGGCGCGCCACTGCCGCCCTCGGGCTCCAAGGACCAGGCCCTAGGAGCTGGTGGCGAGTTTGGGGGCCAAGACAAGCCCAAGATCACGGCGTGGGAGGCGGGCTGGAACGTGACCAACGCTATCCAGGTGAGCGCGGGATTCCCAGCTCTGCCTGTCCCCTGCCCCTACTCCCCGATCCCCAGGGGAGGTCTGCGCACCAGGCTCTGCCGGAAGCAGAGTCCCTTGGAGATCTCAGCCTCAAGACCCCCTCCTGTACCCGGAATCTTGTCTTTCCCCATCCCTCTCAGCCCTGCGCGGGGATCTACGCCCCCAGGCGGTGTGTCCTCCCCCTGGTCCGGCCCCTCTCCCGCGTCCTCGGCCGCGGGATGGCTAAGCTAAGGTTCGGTCAGAGATGCTTGCTCGGAGACCCTGCAAAAGCGAGGGAAACAGGAGGAGGGGGAGTGGGGAGGGGTGAGGGAGAAAGAAGATCAGGATAGGAAGGAACAGTGTCGCCTGGGACTCCGGAATGGATTCACAGCTGCATTTTGGGTAGAAAGGAAGAGGGGGGGATGGCTGAGCGGGGAGTCTCCTCCCCCGACACACATGCGACACACAGGCACAGACAGAGAGCATGTACATAGATAGACACACATACCCACAGCCCCCCCTCCCCAACGAAGAGACGCAGGTCACAGGTTCACAGGACAGCCATCTATATATAGACCACAAGATTATCCTCAAATGCACCTCCATGCACCCCTACACCCCTCACACACAGAAACACATACCTCTACATACCAAGGGCACACACACAAACCTATTTAAACATAACACACTCAGAGATTCATGCATACAGGATCCACCCGCTGTCCCAGGTGCAGTCCTGTCGGGGACAAACAGGTATTCACAAACATGCACACACACACAAACACATATGTGTGACCACACAAGCACAGCATGGTCTTTGGTGCCCCAGCGCTACCTGCCCACAGACTCACCCCTCTCTGCCAAAATCCGTTTCCTGGCGACCACAAAAAGGCAACCAGTTCCTCTGCGTGTGACCCTGGCGGAGCCGCCTCCAGATGCTCTGAACCGCCTCTGGTCTTCACCCCGTCACCCCTACAGTCAACCCTCAGTCCCCACCAGGCGGCGCCGGTCTCCACCCGGAGCGGGTTTGCAATCTGCACAACGACCCCGGGCGCCGACGAAGGCGGGCCGGCGGCAGCTCGCAGGGCACTGGAGGCCTCTGCCTCGGGCGTCCCCGGGCCCTGCGGCTTTGCAACCCAAACCCCATCCTCGGTGTCCCCGGAGCGCACGGTCGCTGGGGCGCAGAACATGGGTTTCCTTTGAGCTGGAGGCCGAGATGGGGTTACTCAGGGACTCGGGCTCCGCGGGACTCCTAGGGGCCCCGCTCAGTAAGTGACCCAACCCAAGACGCTTCCCCTTCTAGGGCCGGGCAGGACGGCCAAGCGCAATCAGGGACCGGGGGACCGCACCAGCTTCAGCCGCAGGCCGCGCCTCCACTTGGGACATCTTTAAAAGGCTCGTTCGATTGGCCTGGTGGAAGGCCAGGGTGGGAAGCTGGAGGCCTGCAAGCCTCGGGAGCCCTGGATTTCGTTAGCTTTGCTTCCCCATGTGGGTTCTAAACCTTCCTTCCACAGCTCTGCCCGCCCCATCCCGCAGCTTCTGGTTCTCGACTCTCGCTTGATTCCGCCTTCGACCCAGCGCTCGCGCTCTCCCCGCAGGCCCCTCATCCTGCCTGCCTCCACCCCTCAGTCCCCCGACTTAGGGGTCCGTCTCGGAGCCCCAATTCCCGCCTGGCCCTAAGACTGCCCTACCCTGCCTCCCTGCCTCCGCGCCCCCTGGCCTCACCCCACCCGAAAACCTTCGCGGGCAACCTCTCTTTCGCTCCCTTCTCGCCCCCCTGAGGCTGGCCTCACGCTCAGCCTCCCTCCGTCCCCCCCTCCCCGCCCCCCCTCCCCGACTGCTTTCCCTCCCGCTGCCGCTTTTACAGTTTCCTTCTCGGGTTTGGCCCTTCGGCCCCAGCGTTTCCCTCCTTAGCTTCCGTGCACCCCATTCCGGCCCCACCTGAGACTCCGTGCCCCCTTTTCCGAGTGGCCCAGGCCCCGCTCTCTACCTTTCTCCTTGCACTTCTCCGGCCACGCCCCCTCCAGCTCCTGCTCGCCTTCTGCCGAATCGCCCCCAGATATCACCTCGTACCCTTCCCTCTTTGTAGCTTGACAACCAATTCCCCCTACCCCAGCCCCCTCTCTGTTTTCCAGCCACTAAGCACGCCTCTCCTTCTCCGTTCCGTCCTTCGCCATCTCTGACTCAACATCCACGTTCCCCATTAGGCCGCTCTACACCCCCATCCCAGCCTACCCTTAACCTCTCCTCCCGGAGGCTTAGGCCCAGTTCTCATTTCCTTAGCGCGCCCTTCCAGCGACACCCTTAACCCACTCCCCTAGACCCTCCTCCGCCGAGATCTGCCTCCTCTGAGCGCCCGGGTCTGGTTGCCTCTTCGCTCCGCAGGGCATGTTCGTGCTGGGCCTGCCCTACGCCATCCTGCACGGCGGCTACCTGGGATTGTTCCTTATTATCTTCGCCGCCGTGGTGTGCTGCTACACCGGCAAGATCCTCATCGCCTGCCTGTACGAGGAGAACGAGGACGGCGAGGTGGTGCGCGTGCGGGACTCGTACGTGGCCATTGCCAACGCCTGCTGCGCCCCGCGCTTCCCCACCCTGGGCGGCCGCGTGGTGAACGTGGCGCAGATCATCGAGCTGGTGATGACTTGCATCCTGTACGTGGTGGTGAGCGGCAACCTCATGTACAACAGCTTTCCGGGGCTGCCCGTGTCGCAGAAGTCCTGGTCCATCATCGCCACGGCGGTGCTGCTGCCTTGCGCCTTCCTTAAGAACCTCAAGGCCGTGTCCAAGTTCAGCCTGCTGTGCACGTTGGCCCACTTCGTCATCAACATTCTGGTCATTGCCTACTGCCTGTCGCGGGCGCGCGATTGGGCCTGGGAGAAGGTCAAGTTCTACATCGACGTCAAGAAGTTTCCCATCTCCATCGGTATCATCGTGTTCAGCTACACGTCGCAGATCTTCCTGCCTTCGCTGGAAGGCAACATGCAGCAGCCGAGCGAGTTCCACTGCATGATGAACTGGACGCACATCGCCGCCTGTGTGCTCAAAGGCCTCTTCGCGCTCGTCGCCTACCTCACCTGGGCCGATGAGACCAAGGAGGTCATCACGGATAACCTGCCCGGGTCCATCCGCGCCGTGGTCAACATATTCCTGGTGGCCAAGGCGCTGCTCTCCTACCCCTTGCCCTTCTTCGCTGCTGTCGAGGTGCTGGAGAAGTCGCTTTTCCAGGAAGGCAGCCGCGCCTTCTTCCCCGCCTGCTACGGCGGCGACGGGCGCCTCAAGTCGTGGGGGCTGACGCTGCGCTGCGCTCTGGTGGTCTTCACGCTGCTCATGGCCATCTATGTGCCGCACTTCGCGCTGCTCATGGGCCTCACCGGCAGCCTCACAGGCGCCGGCCTCTGCTTCCTGCTGCCCAGCCTCTTCCACCTGCGCCTGCTCTGGCGCAAGCTGCTGTGGCACCAGGTCTTCTTCGACGTCGCCATCTTCGTCATCGGCGGCATCTGCAGCGTGTCCGGCTTCGTGCACTCTCTGGAGGGCCTCATTGAGGCCTACCGAACCAACGCGGAGGACTAGGGCGCGCGGGGGCGAGCCGCGACCGAGCTCCCGCGCTCTCCTCGCTCCCCACCCGCCCCACCCCCACCAACCCCGTGCGCCCCGCTGCCGCCGCGCTTGGGAAGCCAAGCTGTCAACATCTCTGGTTCCTAGTTTCTGATTCTGCGGGTTGGGGGTGGGAGGGGCTAGGGATCCACCGTCCATCGCGTCTGCGTTTCTGTTGTCCTTTCTTTTCCACAAAACACCCTGGTTTCGGGGGAGACGGGGGGCGCATCTGCGGGCAAGGTTTTCTGTCCCTCCAGTAGGGGCCCTGACACTTTGGTCCCTGTCACCGAGGGGAGGGGTGGGAAGGCAGGGAGAGGGGGGCGCAGCTCGCTGGCGCGGAAACTTGACCTTGGGGGGGGGGGGGAGGGACATTTCACAGCCATCAGTGCTCGGAATCTGCAGCGTCCGGCCATTTCCAGCAAGAGCGCTTCCCATTCCAGAGACATTTCAACCCCGCAGCTGGAAAGGCTGGCCGGGAAATCCGTTTCGGGTGGGCGAATTTCCTTCAGCCAAGCGGAGAGGCGAGGAGCCGCGGCGGGGCTGGCTTGCCTGCGGTTTTCAGGAATCCAAACTCATCCTGCGCAATTTATCAGGTTGTGGAACTGTTCTACTGTGCGTGTGGTGTGCTCGTGGTGAATAAGGTGAAATGTATATCAGAAAAAAAAATCTATCTCTAATTTAGAGTGCGGTGCATAATTATATCCGCAAATAAAGAAGAAACAAAGGCGCTCGCGGCCCTGGCTCAGTTCTGCATTTTCGAACGCGGGAATCCGGGCGCTGGCCCTCCGGGTGAAGCCTTTGGGGGCGGAGAGGCAGCTGTAGAGAAAGCGTCCCGGGAAAGGAGGCGGCGGCTCTCCAGGTGCTTGGGGGATTCAGGCCAAGGAGCAGGCGGTGCGCCCATGGTTTCCGTGTGACCTTGGTCCCCAGCCGCCAGGACTAGGCTTTTTTTTTTTTTTAACCCATATCTCTTCCCGGGAGTTGGATCCATCTGAGAATTTGGTGGATGCTCTCAACTTCCAATTCTTTTTTTTTTTTTTAAGTTTTTTTTCTGTGTACAAAAGCCCTTCCCTGGTGGCTCATTGGTAGAGAATTCACCTGCCAATGTAGGAGAGGCAGGCTGGATCCCTGGGTGGGGAAGATCCCCTGGAGAAGCAAATGGCAACCCACTGCAAGTATTCTTGACTGGGAAATCCCATGGACAGAGGAGCCTGGAGGGCTACAGTCCGTGGGGTCCCAAAGAGTCAGACACCACCTAGCAGTCAAACAACAACAAAAGCCCTACTGGGTTTTCAACAAATATTGAAAGACAGCTCACCAGGGGTGAGGGCTGTGCTGGCTTCCTGGAGAAACAAACCCAGCCCTGCCCTCCCGGAACTTACAGTCTAGAAGAGGAGACAGGGGCAATTGACAAGGACTCTGAAATGCACAATATGACTTACAGGCTGTAAAGGAAATCAGCAGGGCTCCTGTGTATTTCCCAGGGTGTGAACCAACCTGGCCTCCCACACATCTCTCACCCTGCAGAATCCGCCTTCAGTCCCCTCTGTGTGGAGTTTACACAGCCACAGTGAAGAGATCCGACTGTTGAGATTCACCAAGCACAGCGCTTTATGTTCCAGCCTCTCCTCTTCTTGAGCAGCCTATCTGAGAATGTGTTTACTTAAAATACCCAGAGGATTCGGTTCTTTTCTGTGTGCAGATCCTATTCCAGGCACAGCCCTCGCGTTGCCTCCATGGGCGTCCGTCTTGGGAAAGGTGGGAATGGGTCGTGGTTAGCCTCTACAGATGAGATCTGCGTGCTCAGGACGGCTGGGCCGTTCTCACTGAGAGAGAAGCCATGTGAGAGGTTTTTGGTCTCTCCCATCAAGGCAGAGGCCTGTTTAGAACGATTTCTCCAGGAGCAAAGGGCGCACGGGTAAAGAAGGGGGGTACTGCCAAATGCACGGCGGCCATTTCTCCCTGCCTGCTGTGACAGGCGTGTGTGAGTGTGTGCCGCTGAGCGACAGACAGCAGCCCACGCGACATCCCGGGGGGTGAAGGGGGGGGCGTGAAGAGCCTTGATGAATGTGTGTGCTTGCCTGGGTGTGCAGACCATCTGTGAGCACGTACCTGCCACAGAGGTGACCGCGCACTGCCCTGGTTCCGCAGCCACCCAACGGGAGCGGGAGAGCAAGGGGGATAAAATTGGGTTCCCTTGGCCGCCCGAGGCTCTGACGATTTAAACGGGCATCCGCCCGATGCCCCTTTGTCACTCTTATCGAGAGCTGGAATCCTCTGGCCAGAGGATTCTCAGTTTCCCGTCCTCCTACACCTTCTGACGTCTCCCAGGCCGGAGAAGCTTGTCCCCGCCGGGGAAGTCTCCGCTGCTCTTCGGCAGGTCCACGCACCCTTGGGTGCTCTCTGAATCAGAGCTCAGTCTATAGACTTCAGAAAAAGCCCGGATTTCTGCAGTGGAAGGGAAGATGCGAGAGTCATGCTGCACCAGCTCCGTCCTTCCCGTCTCTGAAAGGACAAATGAGATACTAAACACGCCCTGGACAGCGGTGCTACCTCTGCGGACCCGCCAGGATCCGCTGCACTGCATGCTAGCTCCGGGCTTTGCGCTCAGCTCCCCGGAGCCCGGGTCACCCCCCCCCCCCATCATCCCCCGCCCCGACCTCCTCCTGGGCCCAGAAGGGCCGGGGAGGGAGAGCCAAGTTAATAGGCGCCCCAAGGGAAACCCTGCCCCGTCGTGCGCAATACACCCGCCCCCAAGGCTTGCATTTAGGCCAAAGGGAGAAATAAAAGATGAGACCCATCTCTGCCTCCCCCAACCCCCAACAGCAAAGTGCATGGGTGGAAGCTGAAGAGAGCTAAGTTCTTTGCAGGGGTCCGCTGTGAGCTCGCAGTCCGAATTCGAATGAGGCAGAAAGGGCCGGTAAGGTTCATTCGGGAGTCGAACTGAGGAGCGAGGGAATCGACCCCAGGACCCGTCCCCTCCGTCCCATACCCCCATCAGTTCCTGTCTTCTTACGACGAACCCTGACTCCGGGCTCTTCGGACAGCCATCCGGCTGGGTGGCTTGGGAACCACCAAGATCCTTCTACTCGCGAGGAAGCCGCCACTGTGTACCGAGCCCGCTCTGCCGCGCCCCCTAGCGCTGAGAGTGCAAAGCTGCCGGCTCTCACAAGGTTCTCCACCTTCAGCATTCTCAATGCTTCTCGCCTCCCTGCCACTCCGGATCCTCTCACCTCCCTTCCCAGTGGATAACGACTGCTTTTCTCTAGTGTTTTACTTTCGGGTCCTCCATATTTCAAAAGTGGGCTTTTGATGGCCTCCTGCCTCCCAAACATAGAAGGATGTTAATCAGTGACGTGTTTTATTAAATGACAAGCCCTACCCCAGGAACTCATGTTTCCCACTCTAGGGGCTTTGGAGGGAAGAAGGGAGTCAACAGGGCTTCATGGACACCAGACAGGAAGTGAAGAGGGGCACAGCTCAACTTTAAGAGGGAGGTTGGCTGGATTGGTTCCAGGCTGCAGTTTGTGTTAGATCTGCTCCATGTGTCTCTCCCATCCTCTTTAGACTCAGGGCATGTTCTTCTCATGACTAATGGTAAGAGAGCACACATAAAGCCTCTGCTGAGATCACATTTGGCTAATAGTCCACAGGCTAAAAGAGAATCCCATGGCCAAGTTCAATATCAATGTCTACAGTGAGAGAGGCCCAACAGAGTCACATGGCAAGTGGTATGGATATATAATCCTATTACAGAGGTGTGAAGAACTGGGAGCAATAATCCAATCTATCTCGTTTATACATAGTGCTCTTTTTTCCCCCCTGGAACGGTAATACTTTCACAAGATTAAAAAATCAAAAGTATGTGAAAAAGTATGCAGTGAAAAAAGTCTCCTACACCTGACCCATTCACCTTGTCTTTTTCTTTACAGGCAAACTTTTAGTTTCTTGTCTATCTATTAATACATGAAAATACAAGCAAAACACTATATATTTTCAATGCCCCCCCTTTCTTAAAGGGAGTTCCTATAAATTGCACTCTTATTTCTTTTAAAAATGTATCTTGGAGATTTTCCCATATTAGTATACACAGGTGTAGTACTTGAATTTACATTCACTTATATCTTCTGTGTTCTGCTCTGCCCCGCTTTTCTCCATTTAATAATGGATTCCTTCAGATGTGAGATCATGACTTATGTTGGAACACAACACCTTTCATCTGATTTGCTGCTAGACTGGCTCCCTGTTTGGCTTAGAAGTGTTCCTAGAGGTTCCTGAAAACGTTTGGGGGTCTCATCTCTCCATAAGGATGTTTATTACAGAACCACCATTTGGACTGCAAGGAGATCCAACCAGTCAATCCTAAAGGAAATCAGTCCTGAATATTCATTGGAAGGACTGATGCTGACACTGAAACTCCAATACTTTGGCCACCTGATGTAAAGAATTGATTCATTGGAAAAGACCCTGATGCTGGGAAAAATTGAAGGTGGGAGGAGAAGGGGATGACAGAGGATGAGATGACTGGATGGCAAAACTGACGTGATGGGCCTGAGTTTGAGTAGGCTCCGGCAGTTGGTGATGGACAGGGAAGCCTGGCATGCTGCAGCCCATGAGGTCGCAAAGAGTCAGACAAGACTGAGCCACTGAACTGGGCCTTTTGTAATTAACTTGCAAAATCTCTCAAAATTAAGTAATCCAGAGCTGGGAGGGTACAGTCAAAGTAGGCGTTCTAATTCTTGTTATCTTGCCCAGTGCAAAGGGGGAAATGGGGCAGGGGAGAGTGAGCTCAGTCCTTTTACAGCTAAAACTGAGGAGGGGGCAGATGACATCACCTCCATTCCTCCCTGTCCCCCCCGCCCCATTGGCCAAAACTGAGTCACAAGATCACAACAAGCTAGAGGACCATGTAGGGGAATCATACCACAAAAAAGAAAGAGAATATATACATATTAAGTAACATTTAGAAGTCTTTTTTGCAGTGTTTGAGGTTTGTGAGAAGGTACAAGTCCCATAGACTTGTGGAAGTTAATAAATCTATTTTAAAACTTTATGTGCTAAGTCACTTCAGTGGTGTCAGACTCTTTCTGACCCAATGGACTGTAGCCCGCCAGGCTCCTCTGTCCATGGGATTTTTCAGGCAAAAATACTGGAGTGGGTTGCCATGTCCTCCTTCACTGGGATCTTCCCAAACCAGGGATCCAAACCCTCTTAGGTATCCTGCATTGGCAGGTGAGTTCTTTACCACTAGCGCCACCTGGGAAACTTTACATTGTATTATAAAATATATGTGCAAAAAGAAAAAAGAAAGAGTCGCTCATTTGCGTATGGCTCTTTGCGACACCATGGACTGTGGCCCGCCAGGCTGCTCTGTCCGTGGGATTCTCCAGGCAAGAATACTGGAGTGGGTTGCCAGTTCCTTCCCCAGTGGATCTTCCCGACCCAGGGATCAAACCTCGGTCTCCTGCATTACAGGCAGATTCTTTACCGTCTGAGCCACCACGTTTCCAACATACGTACAGAGAAGTGCACAAATCATAAGTGAACGGCCTGATGAATTTTCACAAAATAAACACGCCTGAGTAGCGAACTCCAAGGGGTCACGAAATCGAGCTGACTGCTAATCCCGAGTTTGTTTCCTTGACTAAAGGCAAAGTTATCACGTGGGGAGGAGTCAACGGCGAGGAAAGGTGACAGAAGGCAAATAGGGCATGGCGGAAAGGCGGGGCCCCGCGGAGCTCAGCTCAGTTCGGGAGGCAAGGAACCGGCGGGGACCGATGGATTTACGCATTCGGTGCGGGGTTTGCTGGCCCGAGTCCCGGCTAGCGCGAAGGGGAGTTGTCAGGTCGAATGTTGAGAGCAAGGTTAAACCACAGCCAGGGTGGGCGTGGCCTAGGGATCCCCGAAGGCGGCCTTGGCTACCGAGGGTGAGTTTGGTGAAAACGACTGCCGAGATTAAAAGGCAAGAACACGTAGGGTTTGGAGGCACCGCCGTTCTGTGCGAAGGCGGAGTCTCGCGCCGCACGGGCGGACGCTGCGTCGGGGGCGGAGTCTCGCGCCGAAATGGGTTGACGCCGCGGCGAGGGGCGGAACCAGCAGCACTTCAAGATGGCGGTGGCCACGGCAGCCGGCCTGGCCACGAACGTGTTTCCTTTCCGCGATGCCCGCGCAGCGCCAGATCCGGTGCTGGAGGCCGGCCCGGTGGCACACGGGTCACTGCCGGTGCCACTGGTGCTGGACAATGGGTCGTTCCAGGCCCGCGCAGGCTGGGCGTGCCCCGGGCCGGACCCGGGGCCCGAGCCCCGGCTGCAGTTCCGCGCTGTGTGCGCCCGCGGGCGAGGTGGGGCTCGGGGCGGGGCGGGCCCGCAGGTGGGGAACGCGCTGGGCAGCCTGGAGCCGCTGCGCTGGATGCTGCGATCGCCCTTCGACCGCAACGTGCCGGTGAACCTGGAGCTTCAGGAGTTGCTTCTTGATTACAGCTTCCAGCATCTGGGTGTCTCCTCACAGGTGACGGGCGAGGTGGGCTTAGGACTGAGGAGAGGGGTGCGGTCGTGTCCCGTGTCACTCCGCTCTCCGAGAGATGGTAGTCGCTGCAGTTGTCATTTAGTCATTCATTTAGTCAGTCAATCAAACATTAAACGCCTAACGTATGTAGTAAGTCCTATGCTAGGCGGTTGGGGTATGCCAGTGAACAAAATAACGCCCCTTTCTCTTGGAGCATCTGTTTGGTTTGTTTGTTAGTGCATTTATTTATTAACAGATAGGTGTTGAGCACCTACTCTCAATGGGGACTTTTCTACGTGTTTGAAATATGTCTGGGAACATAACACGAAATCCCCTGTGCCTATGGAGCTAGTATGGAAAGACGTTCTAGTATGAAAAGAGAGATAATAAACAGTAGGATTAAGCAGTAGATTCTACGGCATGATGGAGAGGAAAGGGTTACAGCTTTTCAGTAAGATGGGTAGGGAGAGGACTCAGGGTGACGGTGGTGTTTTGAGCAAGGACTAAAGTAGACGATTGAGGGAGCAAGCCTTGTGAATATCTGAATGAATAGTAATCTTGAGAGACAGAACAGCCAGTGAAAAGGCCCTGAGGCAAGAGTTTGCCCTAACCCTAATTGAGGATAGTCAGAGTGAGGGGAGAGTAGTAAGTAGAAGGTCTTACTTACAAGGTGGCTCAGGCAGTAAAGCATCTGCCTGCAATGAGGGAGACCCAGGTTCGATCCTTAGGTCAGGAAGATTCCCTGGAGAAGGAAATGGCAGCCCACTCCAGTACTCTTGCCTGGAAAATTCCATGGATGGAGGAGCCTGGTGGGCTACAGTCCATGGGGTTGTAAAAAGTTCTACACGACTGAGCAACTTCACTTCAGTAAGTAGAAGTAGAAGTCAGAGAGGTCACACACTTTGTAGGCTTTTATTATGAGTGGAATGGTGAGGCATTGCAGGGTGTTGAACAAAAGAGGGATGTGACTTTTGTTTCAAAAGGATCACTATAGCTGCTATATGGAAAATGAACTGGCCTGAGTCATAGGGTAGAAATAGGGAAATCAGTAGGAAGTTGTTGCAGTTCCAAGGTGAGGGATGATGGTAACTTAGATGAGAAAGGGATGGCGGATGTGGTAAGAAGCAGTTGGATTCTGGAGCTGTTTTAAAGATGATTGGCTCACAGTTTGGATGGGGCCTGACTTCAATTGACAATGCAGCCATTAAATTAAAAGATGCTTGCTTCTTGGAAGAAAAACTATGACCAACCTAGACAGCATGTGAAAAAGCAAAGACATTACTTTGCCGACAAAGGTCCATCTAGTCAAAGCTATGGTTTTTCCATTAGTCATGTTTGGATATGAGAGTTGGACTATAAAGAAAGCTGAGCACTGAAGAATTGATGCTTTTGGACTGTGGTGTTGGGGAAGACTCTTGAGAGTCCCTTGGACTGCAGGGAGATCAAACCAGTCAATCTTAAAGGAAATCAGTCCTGAATATTCACTGGAAGGACTGATACTGAAACTGAAACTCCAATACTTTGGCCACCCAATGCGAAGAACTGACTCATTGGAAAAGATCCTGATGCTGGGAAAAATTGAAGGCAGGAGAAGGGGACAACAGATGATGAGATGATTGGATAGCATCACTGACTCGATGGACATGAGTTTGAGCAAACTCTGGGAGTTGGTGATAGACAGGGAAGCCTGGTGTGCTGCAGTCCATGGCGTTGCAAAGAGTTGGACACGACTGAGTAACTGGACTGAACTGAACTGACTGAAGTTACTGTGAGCATTGGTGGCTCAGATGGTAAAGAATCTGCCTGCAATGCAGGAGATCCAGGTTCGATCCCTAGGAAGATTCCCTGGAGAAGGAAATAGCAACCTACTCCAGTATTCTTGCCTGGAAAATCCCACGGACAGAGGAGCCTGTTGGGCTACAGTCCGTGGTGTCACAAAGAGTCGGCCACGAGTGACCCTACTTTCATATTTTCCAAAGAAACCTCCAGGGAAGGAGGGGTGTTACTCAGTTGCTTCTGATCAGGTGTTTTGATTGGAGACCAAGAGCCAATTCAGCCCTTGCAATAAGGATTTTTGTTTCTTTTTATGCTTTGAAAAGTGTATCCTCTTAGCACCTAACAGTTTGCTCTTTTCTTTCAAAGTAGGGCTGTGTTGATCATCCCATAGTTTTGACAGAAGCCGTGTGCACCCCACTATATTCACGACAGATGATGTCTGAACTTCTCTTTGAGTGCTACAGGATCCCTAAGGTTGCCTATGGGATAGACAGCCTGTTCAGCTTCTACCACAATAACCCAAAGAACATGATTTCAAGTGGGCTCATCATTTCGTCTGGTTATCAGTGTACACATATTTTACCCATCTTAGAAGGGAGGTGAGTTGTACTTATGGCATTTGAGTACTGTTTTGAGAAGCATTCAGGAAACTTTTATTGGGCGCTTACTGTAAAGGTAGAGTGGAAAGAGCAGGTACAGGACCATGAACTGACCTCAGGGCTTAACTCTGACCTCCCTCACTCTGTGAGTATAGATATGTCACTTCACCATCTGTCCTTGTGACCTCCTGGCTTGGGTTGGGGTCGATGGTCTCTGAGGTACAAATCTGTAATTCTAGAATTGTATGATTTTGACTTAGAGTGAAATAGATAGTTTAACACAAGTACCTGTAGGTAGTAGGCACTTAATAAAAATGTTCTGAGTAAATTGTTTAAATAAATTTAATTTAGACTGTTGTGTTCTGGAGTCACTTTTTTTTTTATTAAGTGCTATTTTGCTTTTTTATTTAAAGCTCTTTAATGACAATTATTTAGACCTTTTCAAGTATTGTACTTAATAAATAAGTAGTAGATTATTTTTCCAAGTTGTTTAAAAGTTGAGGGTAGTTTCTGTCATGTTTAAAGTGTGTTCTTATTTTATAGTTGGGCTCTTATTGTCTGTTAAAGAGACTAGGCCAGGGGGTTTCCCTGATAGCTCAGTTGGTAAAGAATCCCTCTGCAATGCAGGAGACCCTGGTTCCTTTCCTGGGTTGGGAAGATCCCCTGGAGAAGGGATAGGCTACCCACTCTAGCATGCTTGGGCTTCCCTTGTGGCTCAGCTGGTAAAGAATCCACCTGCCCTTTGGGAGACCTGGGTTCAATCACTGGGTTGGGAAGATCCCCTGGGGAAGGGAAAGACTACCTACTCCAGTGTTCTGGTCTGGAGAATTCCATGGACTAAATACTCCATGGGGTCGCAAAGAGTCGGACCCAACTGAGCAACTTTCACTTTCACTTCAAAGAGACTAGGCCAGGAAGGGAAGGATAAATAGGGAATTGGGGATTATCAGAGACACACCAATATATATAAAACAGATAAACTACAGGGACCTATTGTGTAGGACACAGAATTATATTCAGTATCTTGTAATTGCCTACAATGGAAAAGAATCTGAAAAAGTATATATATATGTGCAGTGCTTAGTCACTCAGTCATGTCCGACTCTGTGACCCCATGGACTGTAGCCCACCAGGCTCCTCTGTCCATGGGGATTCTCCAGCCAAGAATATTGGAGTGGATTGCCATGCTCTCCTCCAGGGGATCGTCCCAACCCAGGGATCCAACCCAGGTCTCCCACATTTCAGGCAGATTCTTTGCATCTGAGCCACCAGGGAAGCCCAGTGGAAAAAAAATCTGAAAAAGTATACATATATACATATGTTATATATAACTGAATCACTTTGCTAGATACCTGAAATATTGTAAATCAGTTGTGCTTCATTTAAAAAGTAAAAGGAAGAGAGAGACTAGGCCAGCATCATGCTCTCCTGAGAAGGTTTCTCTTTGCATAGAGAGAGTGTGTAAATAGGGAAAGGAGTTGAAAGCCTGGGTTTGCAGACCTGCTAAGGATGAGGTACTTAACTTCTTCACTTGGTTTCCTAACATATAAACTTGGGAAAAACTGATTTCTCAGGGTTACCCTGAGAATGAAATGAGATAATGTAGGAGATGGCACTTTGTAAAACAATCTGAATATTTAAGTGAAAATAGAGGTTGATGAATTTATTGAGCCCTATTGTGGGAATTTCTCTTGAAGTTTGTACAAACATTTATGAAGAAAAAGGCAATCGTTAGGCATTCCAAAACACTCCTGCTATACAGAATTTTCTACCTTATGTAACCAGCATATGCTGAAATTAAAAATAATATTGTTATTTTATATTATATTGAGAGAAAATGATTTGACCTGGAAGCTAGGAGCAGATTGGAGCATGTCCTATTCTATGCTGGCACCTGCTGGTGAGGTGTGATATAGCAGCATCATTTCAGTGCACAGCAAGTTCCTAGAGCCCAGCTCCTCTCGCTTTCTCACACTGAGAATTTATAAAGTTACTCTAGTTCTCCTCTCCTTCACTTCAAGTGAGAGGAACCTGGTACTCTTAGGAGATTACGGTAAGCCGGTGTGTATGTGGTTACTTAACGTGTTTGCGTAAGTAGAAGTGGAGTGTCTAGGGGAGGGGTACACTGGAGCTACCCGGGAAGCTTATCAAAATGCATATCCCCAGAACTTCACTGGCAGTCAGTAGGTAAGACTCTGAGTTTCCACTGCAGAGGGTTTAGGTTTGATCCCTGGTTGAGGAACTAAGATCACACATGCCGTGTGGCACTGCTGAAAAAGAAAAAGTGCATATCCCTAGGCCTTCCCCGGAGCAGACAGGTCTTGGGCATTGTCACCTTAAACGTTATCCCCAGTTAATTCCAGGATGCGTGGCCTTGGAACCACAGTTTGAGAAACACATGACAAGTCACATGAGGGTCTGACTTCCGAGAGCACGTTCTTTGCTTTGAACCTGGTTTCCTTCTGAGATTCTTACCAGAAGTTAAATGTTCATGTGTCTGTCAGGACGTGGTCTAGGAATGCCTGCATTGGATCAGAGGTTGCACTAAGGCAACTTAAATCCCTTCCAACTGTTTTATTTTCCCCTACCAGTCAGTTTCTTCCTCATTAGTCTACATATTTTTTTCTCCACATTGCCAAAGTTTCAGTGCTATTTCCACTTCTCGGTTGTAGGTTAGATGCTAGAAACTGCAAGCGCATCAACCTGGGAGGAAGCCAGGCAGCTGGCTACCTCCAGCGTCTCCTGCAGCTGAAGTATCCCGGGCACCTGGCCGCCATCACTCTCAGCCGCATGGAGGAGATCCTCCACGAGCACAGCTACATCGCCGAGGATTACGTGGAAGGTAGGAAGAGGATGTCTGCCTGCAGCTTCCGAGTGTTGTCTGCCTTTGGGGGTGTTCCTTAAATTTGTTCCCAGGGTGACTCTCCTGCTCACTCTTAACAGGCTTTTTTCGGTCACGAGGCGTGGTGTGCAGGATCTTCCCCCAGCCACGGATGGAACCCGTGCCCCCTGCAGTGAAAGCGCAGAGTCCTAACCCCAGGGCCCCCAGGGAATTCCCTTTTTGCCCACTTTTTTGCACTTAATACTTTTTAGCATCCTCTTCGGTATTTACTTTCCTCAAAAACTTCTCAGTTGATAAGTCTCATATATTGGTTCTTTTTCACAATCCTTTTGGTTATTCTAGTTCCTTTGCCTGTTCATTTAAATGATAGGGTCAGTTTGTCCATATCTACCAAAAGTTCTGTTGGGATGTGATTGAAAGAACATTAAATGTGTAGATCGGTTTGTATATAAAACAGCAACCTTCTAAATATGCTAAATCCAGATTGGGGAGAAGTGACATTTTTTACTATGTTGAGGCTTCTAATCCATGAACATAATATATCTTTCCATTTATTTAGGTCTTTGTTCATTTCCTTCATCAGCATTTTATAGTTCTCAGCATATAGATCCTGTACATGTTTTATTAGATTTATGCCTAAATTATTTCTTTCCTTATTTTAAATTTCAGTTTCCAATTGCTCATTGCTATTGTATAGAAATGCAGTGAATTTTTATGAAATACAGTGAGTTTTTACTCTTTGTCAAATTGAGGAATTTCCTCTCTGTTCCAAGTTTTGCTGATCATTTTTATCGTGAATGGATCTTTGAATTTTGTGAAATGCTTTTTCTGCATCTCATATGATCCTATGGTGTTTGTGCTTTGAACTGTTCATTTAAGAGATTATAAGGATTGCTTTTCAGATACTGAACTGGCCTTGAACCCTGCTTGTTTCTATGTGTTATTTTTTATATATTGCTGGATTTAATTTGATAAATTTTGTGAAGTATTTGTGTCAGTATTCATAAGGGATGTTGATCTGCAGTTTTCTTCTACTCTTTGTCTTGTTTTGGGATCATGGCAATGCTGGTCTTACTAAATGAGCTGAAAAGTGTTTTCTTCTACTTTTTGGAAAAGATTAAGTAAATAGTTGTTTTGTTTTTTTTAAATGTTTGTTAGAATTCTGCAGCAGAACTGTTTGAGCCTGGGGGATTTATTTTTCTGAAGGAATTTAATTTCTTTAATAGGTGTCGGTGTAAGTTTCATCAGTTTCATTGATGTCTTCTTTTTATTATTTCTTCCTTTCTACTTGCTTTAGGTTTACTTTGCCCTTTTTCCCTAGTTTCTTGAGGTAGAAGCTTAGATTTTTATCATAACTTCTTTCTAATATAGACATTTAAAGCTTGAATTTCCCTCTCAGCAGTCCTTTATCTGTATTTCATAGATTTTGATATGGTGTATTTTCATTTTTATTGAGTTCAGATATTTTTAAGTTTCCCTCAAGCCTTTTTTATTTGCAACCATTGATTATTTAGAATATAGCCAAGTGTTGGAGACTTTCCAGTTATTTTTCTGTGGTTTATATCTGCTTTAATTCTATCATAGTCAAAGAACTTCTTTTCCCTGGTATCAGTTAAATTTGTGAAGGTTTGGTTTAGGACCCAGGCCTGGTTTGTTTTGGTGAATGTTCCATATACAATTGCAAAGGATGTATGTCCTGCTGTTGTTGGATGGAGTAGTCTGTGATGTCATTCGGGTTCTGCTGGTTTTTGGTTTTGTTCAGTTCTTGTCAACCCAGCTTCATTGTCCAACAAGCTGTACCGATTATTTATTACTGATTATTAAGAGTGTTGAAATCTCCAGGGAGAATTGTGAATTTTCCTTTCTTCTTTCAGTTCTGTCAGTTTTTGCTTTCAAGTATCGGAAGCTCTTTTGTTAGGTACACATTTAGGATTCTTATGTTTTCTTGGCAAATTGGTCTTTTATGTAGTCATCCTTTTTTAAATCTTCTTGGCAAATTGATCTTTTACCATTATGTAATGTTCCTTTTTATCCCTTGCAATTTTCTTTGCTTTGAAGTCTGCTTGGATTTAGTATAGCCACTTGAGCTTTCTTTTGATTGGTGCTTATGTGGTGGTTTTTTTCCTGGCCTTTTAGTCTATGTAAAACATTATATTCAAAGCAAGTTTTCTAACAGGTCCTTTCCTTGAAAATCCCTTCTTTCAGTCTCTATCTTTTAACTGATAAGTTAAGACCATTTACAGTGAATGTAATCCCTCTTGTGTCTGGGTTTAGGTCCACCAGTTTTTTGGCATTCCATTTTAATTTATCTATTGTGTTTTTCACCAGTCTCTCTTGTATAGGTTTTTTGTTTTAATGGTTGCTCAAGAGATGACAGTTAACAGGCTTGTCAGTCTTAGGGTCTCTTTTTTGCCACTTCAAGTGGAACCTGGAGATGTTAGCACTCCAGAGGCCCCCATGTCCTTCCTCCTTTGTGTCGGACTTGTCTTCTGTGTCACATCTACATCCGTGGGAAGCCCATCAGACATTGTCATGGTTTTTACTTTGAATTGTCAAACATATTTTAAAGAATTCCAGAGGAGGTTAATCTAGTCTGTTCATCATTTCAGTTGCATTTCCTTCATTTCTGGTGCTCCAGGTGATATCCTTTCCATTTGAAAAGCTTTATTTACCAGTTTTCTCAGAGCAGGTGTGTTGGCATCGTGTCCAGGTCTTACTGCTGCATTTTGTCAATTGGGTGGGTTCAGAAATGGGGGGAGCATGCTTCCTCCATCTTCCCCTGCACCTGGAACCCTGGTCCCAGCTTGCTAATCTCAGGGCTAATGGTGTTCCGTCTCCTAACTTCCGAAACACTTCCTTTGAAGAGCTGCAGAAATGGCGGTGCCCCGATTACTATGAGAACAACGTGCACAAGATGCAGCTGCCGTTTTCCAGCAAGCTCCTGGGCAGCACCCTGACCTCTGAGGAGAAGCAGGAGCGGCGGCAGCAGCAGCTGCGGCGGCTGCAGGAGCTCAATGCCCGGCGGCGGGAGGAGAAGCTGCAGCTGGATCAGGAGCGGCTGGACCGGCTGCTCTATGTGCAGGTGATGCAGACCCCTGGGTAGGTCCCCGCCTTGTTCTTCCTGTAGATTCTGCCCCAGCCATGAAATGCATCAGCCATCTCAGTCCCCCCCGCCCTGAGGTCAAGGAGGAGTCTAGCGGGATCATCCATGTAGAGATCACGTGTGTGGAGGACATTGTAGCAGCAGGAATTTCTGAAAGAGCTGTGGACTTGGCCTTGATGATGTAGTTTATCCTTATAAGTCCCCTTTGATTGATTTTTACTTCTCGGCTTAAGTGTGGCACACATGATGCAGAGCGCACAAATCTTAAGGGTCCAGCTGAGTGAATTTTCACCACCGAAATACACCACGGAGCCACGTCCAGATCAAGAAATACAGCACTACCAGCAGCCCAGGAACCTCCCTTAGTGTCCTGTTAGCAACTCTCCCACCTTTGTCCCTCCCAGAAGCTCACATTTCTGACATCTGTCTGCATAGATGAGTGTTGGCTGCTCAGGTGGTGCTGAGACGGTGATGCGTGGGAGCCCAGAGATGGCTGGGGAGGAGGGTCACGGCGCGAAGCTTCATGGGGCAGGCTGCATGGAGGGGCAGGCTCAGGGAGCCCTCGCCCGCTGTTCTTCCTGTCCGTCCAGCTTCTGAGCTCCTTCTCTCCTTCCCGGGCATGATTGCCCCGATACGCATCTCTGAGGATGGGTTGTGACTGCTCTGCTTGCAGGAGCTTCTGGAGGACGGCCAGATGGATCAGTTTCACAAGGCCCTGATAGAGCTGAACATGGACTCCCCGGAGGAGCTGCAGTCCTACATCCAGAAGCTCAGTGCCGCAGTGGAGCAGGCGAAGCAGAAGATCCTTCAAGCAGAAGTCAGCCTTGAGGTGGACGTGGTGGACAGCAAGCCAGAGGTACTGGGGCCTCGGGAGGAAGGTCTCCAGGGGTTGTTAGAGAGGATAGCCCTTTCTGAGGACAGAGGAATGTCCAGGAAAGGCTGATGACAAATGGGTTGTGACCAGACTAGAGTGGCAAAGAGAACAGAATGGTGTTTGATGTGTCTGGGGGCACAGATGGGGGCAGGGATGGCACTGACCTTGTACCAACTGGAGTGCTGACTGACCTGAGGGACTTTACCCGGTAGAGCTCTGGCCCCCTGGGAGGGGGAAGTGTGTGAGTAGAAAAGCAAGAACATGGTGCACACCAATCGTGTGGCCCATGTTGAGTGTGAGCCTGCCCCACTGATGGTTCCTGGATCATCATATATGCCTCAACTTTCTTCTGATCTCTTATTAAATATATTGTGATTACTCTTTCATTCATCACCTTTCCATGTCAGTGTTCCCTAGGACACGGATCACACTTCACACATAGTCTGGGAATTTTTTTTACAGGCGTTAGTAGACGTGCTCAATAGGAAATATACAAGTGAGACCCAGAAGGACACATCAGATGGTAAACGACTTGTGATTATGAGTGACGTTGTTTTTTGCTTTTGTGTTTTTTGATTTCCTATTATGCACATGTTAACTTTTAAGAAATAAGTGTTATTTTTAAAACCTTGAAAAGATATTTGTGAGTTGATTAAAAACCAGCCTTTTGTTAGTTACTAAAACTAACTCTTTGATCTTCTCAGTCTCCTTTTTGTTTCCCTGCCCATGGACTGTGAATAAGTATTCATGTGGCTGAAAGGGCAGGCGGGTGCATGGGGCTGAGATAGGGCCCTGGGTAAATCAAACCCTAGCACTGGGCTCGTGTGGAAGGGGCTGCCTGCAGGTCACAGGTCTCTGATTGTCTCACTTTCTCTAGAATTGGACAAAAGTGATAGTAGGTGGATGCCTTGTTGCTGGATCTGTCATCTCTAGAGTTCTAAAATCAAGGTACTTATTCATTGCCTTGTGATACTTTTGGGGCAGGGTTAGCCAGTCAAGCTATTGATCTTTCTTTTCAAGTCAACTTTAAATTCTAAAGCCTTTACTTTTCAAAAGAAACAGTCCTGTGGAAAGTTTCAGTTTGCTGCTGGGTGTATGTAGTCTGCTGCTGATCAGGGGCCTCAGACTGTCCTTGGCTCAGCAGGCAGCCTGCTTTTGCAGGCACTGTCTCAACTGGAGGCCAGCTCTCACGGTTCCTGATCTCAGCCTCCCCTTCCCCACCTCTCAGACAGGCTGTAGATCACATGAGGACAGTGACTGGCTGTGAGCATGCATGTTTGACCGAGCAGATCCTGAGTCAGACTTCCTAGACACAGCATACTGGGTCACTGAGATCGGGGTTGAAGGGGCCTTGACCTCCGTCTTAGTCTTGCACAGCATCCCAGATCAGCTTTAGGAGAACCAGCGTGCCTCCCACTTTCCAGATCTGTGTTTCAGGTTTGAGCCGTTGGTGACTGGGATCCGGATCCACATTGTTGCTGTTGTTCAGTCGCTCAGTTGTGACCAACTCTTTGTGGCCCCATGGACTGCAGCACGCCAGGCTTCCCTGTCCTTCACTCCCTCCCGGCGTTTGCTCAGACTCATGTTCATTGAGTTGATGGTGCCATCCAACCATCGGATCCTCTGTTCACATTGCCTTTCTTGTTTATCTGTACTTACTATCATGCTTATCAACATGTCCACAGGGTATCAGCATCTTTATATCAGAGATGAACCACTGAGCTACATGCACGTGGAGGATTTCAGATTTAAAAAGAAAAGAAATCAAATAACTGTGAAGATGTGATTCCCAAGCAGTTGGGGAGCTAGTTTTTCCTTTTCTTTGTTCATTTTTATGTGTTTGTTATATGCCCTGCTTCAGTCACTCTCTTCATTCATTCAGCAGGTACTTACTAAGTCCCTACTTTTTCCTATGACCTGAGGGTACATATTCAAACCTCTCTGGGCTTGGGGAGATTTTGAATTGTTAGACTTTAAAAGGTTTCCCTATGTAGTACAACAGATCTGATGAATCCGTCTGTCCCAAAGCCTTAATGGTCAGTCAGGGAGATTGTTAAAGATTAGATCAATTACAGTAACATTCATGGGCTAAATTTGGCCACAACACTGGCCAACCAGTTCTACCTTTCAAAAAGTATTGTATTTTCCAACTGTACAGTTCCTTTACAGTGGAGAGAACAAATCTGTGTGGACCACAGTTCATACTGAAATGCCATCTAAGCGGTAAAAGTTACATTGGATTCATAAATTTTTTAACTTCCAGTGTGTTCTAAAAATCCATTTTTTTCTTACAGACCAATCCATTTCATCCCTCACTGCAGGTATTCAGTGAGGATATTGTAAAGGAGTAGGCTTTGTTAGCATTCTTGTTTTTAATGTTTGTTTATTTGGCAGCCCTGGGTCTTAGCTGAGGCACTTAGGATCTTCACTGCATCACACAGACTCTCTGGTTGTGGCACACAGCCCCAGGGCATGTGGAGTCTTCTGGGACCAGGGATCAAACTGTGTCCTCTGCATTGGGAGGTGGATTCTCTACCACTGAACCACCAAGGAAGTCCTACTAGCATTCTTCATGGAGTATTTAAAAGATGCTCACTTCCCATCACTGCAAATGGTTGGGAGTGCAGCTCACTAGCACCCTTCTTTGTTTTGGAAAGCATAGTGGCCAAAGATAGAAAGTTCTCTTACCTGAGAAATCAAGATTGAACTGGTCTCTGTTTTTCTGCTGCTTAAGGCTGTTCTGGGGAACCACACTGCATCTTCTCTGACGGGCCTTGGCAAACTGTTGTTCTGTTTGGTTCCCAAAGAACAGCCTATATATATGTTCCTAGTTGTCACCCAGTACACCTGGGGACCATGGCAAACCCTAAGAGGGAGAGAAGCCAGCCATAGTAGAGAAATCAGTTATCTCTGGGATGCCTGTTGTTGCATTGACATTACCAGCTTTGTTCTTCTGTATGAATCATATGAATCAGGATAAGGAAAAGGTTTTTTGTTGTTGTTGTTGTTGTTGTTGTTGTTTTACAATTTTTGGTGAAGCTAAGAAATCTTGTTTTTAAGGTGACTGCTTTTGAATATAATTAGATATGAAAGTGGATAGCAATACAGAAAAAGCCTTTAAAATCCAGACATTTTACAGTCCTCTTTATTCTAGAGGAACCTAAGGGTGTATCCCGGGGACTCACCACTCAGTGCTAGGCGTGATTGCCAGGGGCCAGGGGCACAGAGGTGACTGAGATACAATCCTTTCCCTCCTCAGTACCTCAGAACCTAGGGCTCTAGAACCATACTCAGGACTGTACTACACTATGCATGGGGATTCTCCAGTCAAGAATACTGGAGTGGGTTGCCATGCCCGTCTCTAAGGGATCTTCCCGACCCAGGGATCAAACCCAGGTCTCCCAAATTGTAAGCAGATTCTTTACCGTCTGAGCCACCGGGGAAGCCCCAGACTGTAATAACCTTTATCAAATGTGATGCTATTAATAGATGTCTGTGGGAATGCAGATGCAGGTTTGTTTTTTTGTTTGTTTTTTAAAATACTTACTTCTTTGGCTGCATTGGGTTTTAGTTGCCAGGATACAGGATCTCTAGTTGTGGTTGCAGGGGCTTTGTTGCCCTGCGGAATATGGGATCTTAGTTCCCTGACCAAGGATGGAGCCCACGTCCCCTGAGTTGCAAGGCAGATGCTTAACCATTGGACCACCAGGGAAGTCCTCAGATGGAGTTATGAGAAAGGACTGGGATGTTTGAGCTGGGCCCTGATTTCAGTAGATACCAGATGAGGTGGGAAGGACATTTTATATGGAAAGAAGTGTACATGCAGGGAGCAGGGCCCATCCCGCATGGAGAGTGTGGGAGACGAAGACGGAAGGGAGGCCGTGGCCGCCTGAAACAGTCTTTATCCGTCAGCCCGAATAGTATCCTTCAGACAGAGCCTTCAGAGTGTGCTGAGCAAGGCATAATCTGAGGAGATTACTTTAGGAAAATAACTGGTGGCAGTTAGGATGATGGATTTAGGGAGAGGCAAGACCAGACGGGGGAAGACAGGATAAAAATGGGATGGCTCCACCCAGGAGGGAGCCAGTGTGCCCTGAAGCTTGTCTGTGGCCGTGGGGGTGGAGGAGGACAGACGCCCAAGGTCGGACCAAGGAGCCGGCACCACCCAGGAGCTCCGGTTTCTGCTGAGAACAGGACACGGGGCCTGCGCCAGGCGCGCCGTGCAAGTGTCGTCCTGATTAGTTTTCGCGATTCCGCAAGTGCTGTCCTCATTCCCGTTTGATAAATAAGGAAACTGAGATTGAGACGAGGGGAGAAATGTGCCCAAGGTCAACAACTAGAAGCGGCGCAGCTGAGAGTCCGATCCGAGCAGTCTGAGTCCAGGTTCCGTCCAGTCGCTGCGGCTGGGGTGAGAGGCAGCGTGGACCGAGCTTAGGGAGGTGACCAGCTGGATCCTGAGCCCCTCATCCCTGGAGTCTCTGTGGGGCAGTCCTCTCGGGTGGCAGACTTGAGCGGCCCCCTCCGAAGGCTTCAGAGAAGGTGGGAGTTGATGAGACTGGTCTCAGTGGGGAAGATAGGGGGTATGAACAAAATCCATCTCTGGCTTTTTTAGTCTTTTAACCTTGTGTTCATGTGTGTTCAGGTTTTTTTTTTCCCAATAGTTTAGAAAAATTTTCATTGTTTTTATGTATGGACATACTTTCAGGACATTGGGTGAGATCCCAGTTCTTTTTGGTGACCGTGAACTCACAGAGCTAAGGCTTGCTAAATCACAGGTTCTATCTTGTTGTGTTTCTTCTCTTCTCAGACTCCTGACCTGGAGCAGCTAGAGCCGTCTCTGGAAGACGTGGAAAACATCAACGATTTCGAGCCCCTGTTTTCGGAGGAGACGCCGGAAGTGGAGAAGCCAGTGACCACAGTCCAGGTTGGCCTCCTGTAGCCTTGACCTTGCTTATACTTTGAAGCTTGGCGTGAATGACCAGTCAGGTCTAGTCTCCTTCTTTAGGAATATTCCCCCCTCCAGCTGCAAGTCCCAGTTGTAGTTTTCTAGAAGGGCGAGTACCAGCTCTGAAAGCTTGTAGGGTCAGGGACTTTTTCCTCCTCGGTGATTGATTGGGGTTCCAGCATTGACTCTGAAACTGTGAGAAATAGTCTGCTTGGTGGGAGCATTTGGACCAGTAGCCAGGGACTTTGAGACCCAAAGAGTAGCTTTTAATGCTTTTATTTAAATTGAAGCCAGTGTTATGATGTTTCATCATCATCTGGGTCCATGTTTCTGCCATCACCGTGGCAACCAGGTGGTTGACCTTCTTTTCCTTCTGTTTTCTCCACGGACACCTGGAGAGAAGGCGGTCTTGGCTGTGCGGGGACTGGGCGCCGAGCCAGGTGCTGGCGGAGACTTGGTCTCCCAGTGCCAGCCTTGCTGCTGCTCTCCACCCAGTCTCCTTCCTGCATCTCACGGATCATTTCATGATGCAGATGTGTAGCAGTTTATCATCCAGAGGTTAAAGAAGGTAGAAAAATGGAATCATCACATCAAGAGAGTGGGGGGAGAGGTTATTCTGGCACAAACAAAGCTATAATGGAATGAGAAATGCAGTTTGAGGAAGCTGGCACCTGGGATGTTTGTTCTTATGGCCTAAAAATATCTTCTAAACCTTGGGTTTTTAAAGCCCGTGTTTAACTTGGCAGCGTATCATCAGCTGTTTGTTGGGACAGAAAGAATTCGAGCTCCAGAAATTATCTTCCAGCCATCTCTCATTGGAGAGGAGCAGGCCGGCATAGCAGAGACCCTCCAGTACATCCTGGACAGGTGAGCCTGGATCTTCTTTTCCTTCTGTTTTCTTGAACCATTCCCTTGAAGTTTGCATTGAACAGTGAAGCTGATGGCCGGGCCTCTTTTTCATTGACTTGCTGCACTCAGAGGGTGTTCTTTTTCTCTCACCAGGCCTGGCACAGAGTTAGGGCCGTCTGTTCTTTTTTCAGTGTAGATGCTCAACGTGTATATACTTGAGCTTTAAGAAAGTCTTTTAAAAATTTGGGCAACATGATAATATATGTGCACTGGCTTTTCTAAAAGTCTTCATTGCAGACTAGTGGTTCTAAATCACCCTAAAAACAAGAAGAACTTAGTTTTTTTCCCCACCTTGCATTTTATTTTTTAAGAGTTTACATTTCTATAACAACATGCCTCTCCCCACAGATATGATTCTGCAGTGTGAGTTTTCCTAATTTACGTGGGACAAGTAGGGAACATGGTCTTGTTGTCCTCTAGTTGCTGTTGGTTAAAACAGAATGGCAGCTTAACAACTAGCAGGGAAGAAAAGTGATTGCAGCTACTTTGTTTGAATAACTTTGAGTTTTGTCTCAAAGTGAGTAGAAAAATGATCAAATGTGTAAGATAAAACTAGTAATAAAAAGCACAAGTGGAGAGGGAAGTCCTCAAAAGGAGAGGCAGGATTTCAGGGGATGATGGAAATGTTCTGTATCTTGGTTGTGGTGGTGGTTGCTTGGGTTTATAAATTTGTCAGACTTCATTTAAATGCATTTAAAGCAATCCTCACTTAAGTCAATTTTTAAAAAACATGTATTAGAAAGGCATAATGCTAAGGAAATGGATTGACCATTCAAATTAAGGTTTTAGCTAGCTGTTTGACATTCATTCTGTAAAGGCAAATGAAAAATGGAAAGTGTTTTGTTTGTTTTTTAACTTTTTGTGTGGATGTTTTCTGATTTGTACTGAAGAGCTCACATTTCCACATCCACATTCTCTTCCAATATTCAAGTAGGAGAGACTATAGCAGTGGAATCATTTCATCCCTAGGTACCCGAAGGATGTTCAAGAGCTGCTGGTTCAGAACGTTCTCCTCACTGGTGGGAACATGATGTATCCTGGGATGAAGGTCAGAATCGAGAAGGAACTGCTGGAGATGAGGCCTTTTCAGTCTTCTTTTCAGGTACCAGTTGTCCATGTAACCAGCTGTTTTGAAAATAACCTTATTGTTTGTTTTCTGAGTTGAAAAAGTAGTACAGCGTAAATGAGAAAAATTGTCATTCCATCATCCAGAGACAGCCACTGTTAACACATTCGTGGCTTTCCTTCTGTTCTTCAGATTTTTAAAGCAAAATGGAAATCATAATTTATGTACTTCTTTGTTTTAATTTCATTGACAAAGGAAGACCTGCATACAGTATACATTTAGAGAGTACACAAGAGTGTACCTTGAGGGACTCCCTGGTGGTCCAGTGGCTAAGACGTCACGCTGCTAGTGCAGGGGGCCCGAGTTTGATCCCCGGTCAGGGAACTAGATCCCACATGCCACAACTAAAGATCCCACGTGTGGCAGCAAAGATGAAAGATTCCACGTGCTGGAACTAAGATCCTGTGCAGCTAAATTAATTAAATTTTTAAAAATCATCACCAAAATTATTTATTTACTTTTGGCCGCACTGGGTCTGCCTTGCTACACACGGGCTTTCTCTAGTTACGGTGAGCGGGAGCTACTTTCTAGTTGTGGTGCACGGACTTCTCATCGAAGTGGCTTCTCTTGTTGTGGAGCTTGGGCTTTAGACTCACAGGCTTCCGTACTTGTGGCACACAGCCCCACTTGCCCTGTGGCATATGGGGTTCATTATTACCAAAATTATTTTCTTTAAAAAGAGTGTACATTGAGATTAAGGCCTTCTCTTCACCCAGGCCCTGGGCCACAGGCAGAGGGGACTGGCTGAGGAGGTTTTTTCTTTCTTCCACACATTTTCTACACATGGCTTTTGTAACTTGAATTTCTTTACCTGCCAGGAACATTTCCCATGTCATTATTCATCTGAAATACTTTTAAAAGCAACTGTCTGGTGGGGGTACCCCACAATCTCTTTACCAAATTCCCAATCACTAAGAGACGTGGTTTGAGCTCCCCTCGTGGACCAGTCATCTCGGGATGCTGAGATGTCTTGGGCACCTAGGGGTCTTGGAGTTCAGGGACGGCTCCTTGGAAGTGAGTCTCCAAGGGCAAGGAGGTGTTTGTCACATAGGGCGGGGGGTGGGGTGGAGAGAACGTTCCAGGTTGGGTGGGGTGGGGAACAAGCGGGAGCAAAGGCTTGGGGTCCAAAACCTTGCTGAGGGGTGTGCAGCTGAGAGTGGCTGTGAAGGGTGGGGGCGTGTGCTGGAGAGGCTGGCAGGGGGCATGGGGTAGGGAGCCTGTGTGTCCTGTCGAGGGGCTTGGCTTGGCCCACCCCGTGCCATGTGACGTGTTGTACGTTCAGGCGGCGGTCTCTGGACCTGGGTCCTGACTCCAGCACCACCATCACTGAGTTTTGCCACACTTCAGTTTCCGCAGCGGTGAGAAGGGGGGTCATCTTGGCACCCGTTCACAGCTTTCAGCGTGCAGGGCGAATCGGGCGCTCAGCCCAGGGCCTGCGTGTGATGGACAGACATCAGCTGTTGTGTTGAGGGCCCCTGAGAACACGCTGGACTCCACAAGTCGCTAGAAGGACCTGCCGAGACTCCACACGTGGTCCTACTTGATAGTCCTCAGCCGTGGGCACTTGCCTGGTGCAAGGAGCCAGACGAGCGCCTCCTCGTCCCGTCAGTGACACTCCTAGGCCAGAGCGGCCGGGGCTCTTGTGACCCTGATTTTGTTGATGGTCCTTTCTTGCAGGTCCCTTGCCTCCTCCTCCGCCATCTGTGCTGATTCCTCTGGCTCTTTACTTCAGAAAGTTCCCAAACCTCCATTCCAGCCTGAGACTTCTATGGGAGGTGGAGGGAGGGAGCGGGGAGGAGGTGGGAAGTCAGGCAGGCGACTCCAGGAAAGAGGAGCCCGGCTGAGTTGGACGTCCATCTGCCCTGTGGTCAGCTCCAGCCTCACTGGGAGCACTCCCGGGACTGCTGACCACAGTCTTGCTCCTGGGAAGAGCAGCGGAAACCGAGCCCAGGGCAGCCTCTCTGCCCTCACGTCCTCTGAGCCTCTTTGCCACCATGGCCAGAGCCCCCTCCCGTCAGCCTCTGCTTTCCTCGCGGGCAGAGGGGCTCAGATCCAGGTCTTCCCGGTCTCCACCTGACACCTTGTGGTCAACAGGATGGGGGCAGGAGGCGGGCAGTGGGTCCCTCGCCCTGCTCAGGGTGGCGTGGATAAAGTAACTGATGACCCCGTGCTCTGTGAGGTCGGTCGTGGTGCGCTTCGCATGTCCGTGTCCTTCCTTGGACTGTCTGGGGCGTTTCAGCTCAGCTCCGTTTGAGGGGTGCAGAGATCGTCCTGCCGCGTCCTGGAACCAAAGGGGGCCCTCCTGTGTGTGCATTTCTGTAGCCAGCCTTGCTACACGCTCAGTCCTTAGAAACCGATGGGAGATGCCCTTCCGGTGACCGCTCTGCTCGTCTTCCAGGTTCAGCTGGCCGCAAACCCCGTGCTGGACGCCTGGTACGGAGCTCGCGACTGGGCCTTGGACCACCTGGACAACGAGGATGTCTGGATCACCAGGAAGGACTACGAAGAGAAGGGGGGAGGCTACCTCAGGGAGCACTGCGCCTCCAACGTGTACATCCCCATCCGCCTGCCCAAGCAGGCTTCGCGCTCCGCAGAGGCCCAGGCATCCGGCAAGGGCTCGGGAGCCAGTGGAGGCGGGGCCGGGGAGCAGGCATAGCGGAGGGGCCCCTCCAGGGACTTGGGGCCACGTCGGGACAGACTCTGCCAGCTGTGTGCGGCCCGAGTCTGCTGGGAACATTTGGCTGCGAGATGGGTTTCTCCAGGGGAGGACAGTTAAGGGCCATCAGGAGTTATCCCTTGGAACTGTGCTCTTTGGGGCGTCTGCAGTGAAGGGACGAGCAGACTTTCGGACCTGCTGTCTTTTCTGTGCCGTGGATGAGCCACAGGCTTCGCTTCTGCAGCAGTAAATGAGAGTGAATGAACGTGATGGTGGCAGAGGTGTACAGAGTGTGTACACAGGCGTCCTTGCTACATTTTAAAGCTGTTTTCGTTCTTGTTTTTATTTTTTTTTAATCCTTTAAATTTTATATTGTCCATGTAGCTAGTTTTGTAAATTGATTCCAAAACTGTGAATGCCCAGCAGGTGGCGTTCTTTCATCTATACCTAAGAAGATAACACTTCCGAGAACCATCACCCATGAACTCTCCAGGACTGGAAATATTTTCCTCCTCCTGTTATTTCTGCTGAGAAATAAGGAAAAGGGGCCCAAAGGGGGAAACGAGATTGTCTGAAGTCAACTCCCTGAGGGCCCGCCTGGCGCCGGCTTCTGAATGGGCAGGTGTGGGGCTGCCAGCATCCTTCATACTTCCTTTGCTGGAGACATTTTCACCGTGTGAGGCCTTCCTACAGTTTCTGTCCCTGTGAATTTGCTGGCCGCATAACTTTGCAGGCTTTCCTGAAGAAACAGACTGGAAAAGGTCCTTTGTGTTGCCTTTTCATTTTTGCCACCTCATCTTTCCTGGACTTTTGCAGCTTCATCTTAAATGGATGGATAACCCCTCTCTTCTCCAGAGATGGCTTGGGGAGAATTTTAACTCTCAGACACACCCAGTACTTAAGCCCAGGACGCCCCTGAGTTTCCTTGCCCCAGAATCCATGCGTTTAAATCCTGTGGCGCGTCGGGGCCACCCCCTGAGGAGGCCTCCTCAGAGCCAGTCCGTCCATGGAGTTCATGTGCAGCTCCAGCTCTCTGGGGCTTTGACCCCTGAAGACCAGGAAGGGGCAGTGGTGGAGGGGAAGGCGGCAGACCCAGGCCAGCTCAAGATGCCCCACGGCCTCACAGGGAGCCACTGGCTGCCCACAGCAGGCCCTGGGGGTGGATGAGAGGGTGAGCGTGAGCTGACAAGAAAGGACAGATGCGAAGGAGGCAGGACCAGCCTCTGTGGAGAGGTTTTCATAATGATGCTTCCAAGAAAAGGGGTTGGGTGAGCTGCTGAGGGCCTTGGGGGGTCTTTCTGCACAGTCAATGTTTTAAATAGCCTGAAGAGCAGTGGTGAGATGCAGAGATTGCCCTGGACATCCAGCCTTGCTGAGGAAGGACCCTGACTGGGCAGGTAAGCTGGGACACAGCGTAGGTCCAAGAACAGGTGCAGCCAGCTCTGCTCTGGGTGCCTGTAGCCCGGAACTGAGGCGGGTCGGGGCTGTGCTGAGGCTGGGCCTTGCGCGCTCCCGCTTTAACTCCTCACGCTGAGCTTGCCGCGACCTCTCCTCACCCCTCTCAGCCCCTCGCACTGACCACCATCAGAGCGCTCATCACAATACCTTGAGCTTTTTCTCTGCCCCCACGTGGTCTCTTACAGACTGTAAGGCACAAAGTGCTTCCAAGGGCAAGAGGCGGGTTTCATTCAGCTTGGAGCATGCACATCCCAGGGCTGGGCCCGGAGGGTGCCAGGGCTCGCAGGGTTTCTAATGAGTGACCAGCTGGTTGGATGACTGACCAGATCTGTGAACAAAGGCAATTTGAGGATAGCTTGTCTGCTCCAGTGGGAGGAACAAATCAGGAGTCTATACTTCCCCTAAGCCAGGGAGCCCTACTGAGACATTTTAAGTCTTCCCTCTGATCCTGCCAGGACTGTTCCTGGAGAGAAAGTGGGTATGACTCCAGCTGACTGATCTGAGGGCAGCCGTGAAGAAATAGATTCCCATAGCCCAGCCTCGGGCTTCTGTCTGCATTGTGGCAGGGGAAAGCCCAGGGTCAGCCTGGCTCTGGGTTTGAGTCAGGGCAGCTCCGAAGGTTGAGTGGCCACCCAGGGTGATCAGGGCCTCGCTCCCTGATGGGGGTGGCCCCCCCCTTTTGCCCCCTCTCCCTTCCATGGGCATCTTGGGAAATAAACAGTTTTACCAAAGCGACAGAGGTGAACAGGTAAGGAAATGGAAGTTAAGAGTAAGTGTGTAAGGATGGGCAGAGAACACCTGACCAAGAAATGAAGACACTGAACTCATACAGATACAACACGCGCAGGTTATTTTACGCTTACCTAAGGGACTAAATGGATGAGATGAAATGTATCATTATAGATACTGTGATTAAATCATTTCCAGATATTTAGAAAACAGTAGAACAGAGAATTAAAAAATACAGGCAGAGAGACTAGGGTTTACTAAATTCATCTTCCTTTCCTCCTGGGCACAGAGCTGCACCACCTTTCCCAGCCTCCCTCACAGTTACACATGTAGCCATTTGATTTCTGGCCAGTGGGATACGGATGGAAGAGATGCACAACATCCATGCAGGGCTGCTTCCATAAACCTCCCACGAGAGCCTCTCTTTCCCCATTGTCTGGCTGAACAGAGAGCTGTCCAAGGTCCAAGAGGAGCGTGGAACCAAAAGTGGAAGAAGCCAAGTCCTTAAACAACTGCTTGGAGCAGAGACCCTGCAAATCCTTCAGTGTGTAAGGAATAAACTTACTGTTTAAGCCACCGAGAGCTTTCGCCTTGTTTGTTACAGAAGCTAGCATTATTCTAACTAAAAGTGTAGGTTAAAAATAAAAACCATTACCTTCGTGTTCATCGGGGATTTAAGGAGGAAAAATCTTTGAAATAATGTGAAACAAGGAGAATAATGTGACAGATAGTTATCCCCTCATTTAGGAAATGAGTGAAAATCAGTCATGTCTGACTCTTTGAGATCCCATGGACTATACAGTCCATAGAATTCTCCAGGCCAGAATACTGGAGTGGGTAGCCATGCCCTTCTCCAGGGGATCTTCCCAACTCAGCATTTGAACCCAAGTCTTCTACATTGCAGGCGGATTTTTATACCAGCTGAACCACCAGGGAAGCCCAGGAAATGAGAGTAATTCCTTTTATCCTGTGCTGTGCTTAGTCACTCAGTAGTGTCTGACTTGTGACCCCACGGACTGCCCACCAGGCTCCTCTGTCCATGGGGATTCTCCAGGCAAGAATACTAGAGTGGCTAGCCTATTCCTTCTCTAGGGTATCTTTCCAACCCAGGAATCCAACCAGGGTCACCTGTATTGCAGGCGGATTCTTTATCACCTGACTATCCTGTAGGATTAATGAGCTAATGAATGAATCACCTAAGGATTTCAGGAAACATGTCTGTATAAGCTGACCCAGAAAGTCACCCTCGAACCTCCTACAAAGTTACGCAAAAAGTGGGATAAAGCAGAATTTTAAAAAGTTGTCATGCTAACCTTAGAATTATAGATATCATGGAAAAGCTTGGAAATCAGAAATAAACATGAAAATCAAAGCCAGACTGGTAAGCCGAGTTGGCACTGAGGCAAGCCTTAGTTTCAGATAGAGAAATCAGCCCTTGGGACGGGTAGGGACTACATGTTTTAAAATGCCTAAGTAGAGATGTAGCCTGGGTTCTCATAGAGCAAGGAACCTGGAATAAGCTCCCTGAATAGGTAATACTAATGCAGCAAGGGAAACCTCAAAGAGATTATGAACAGAGCCTATAAATCCAAGTCTAATAGTATAAGAAAAGTTTGGAGGTGGGTGGTGTGGGGAGAAGAGGTAGCCTAGTTAATGAAAAGAATAAAATAGGGACTTCCCCGCTGGTCCACTGCCATCCAATGCAGGGGACTCAAGTTTGATTCCTGGTTGGGGAACTCAGATCCCATATCCTGTGGGGCGACTTAAGCCTGTACTAGAGAAGCCCACGCCATCCACTGCAACTAAGACCCAATGCAGCCAAATAAGTTCCTTTTTAAAAAGTACAAAACAAAGTGGTATAAATGAGTTCAAGTATGTTAATGTAAGTGTAAATAGGCCTGTCAAAAGAAAAATGAGAAATAAGGTTAGTTTTAGAAAACATGTATAGCTGCAAGTTCTTTGCAAAAGATGCTTTGAAAACATACAAAGATGAAAGGCACAGAAGAAGGCAGAGGAATACTAGAGCACTTACCTGCTAGGCAGAAAGTATTACTAGGAAAAATACTTTTATAACAATTCAGAAAAAGTTACACAGAGCCTTAATCTAACCTCTATGCCCCTCATAAAATAGCCTCAAAATGTGTAAAGCACAGATTGACAGAATCATAAAGCGGCAGATAAATAGTGCCTGGTCCTTGAGAGATCAGTATTTGGGAGCTGTGAATGATGAGATCCAGAAATAGGGTGGGCCTGGTACTTCTAGGTTCTGGGCTAAATCCAGTGCCTTGGCAGAGCAAAGGAGAACTGTAGGCTGGGCAGTTAAACCTGGACTCCTAGCTTCTCCCCAGGACTCCTCCCAAGGACTGGGCTCCCTGAAATGCTGGGAAGGGTGTTGATGGTCCCCAGAATGACTGCTTGGGAGGAAGGGAGGACCCTGAGCTGGAAGCCACATCCTTCCTTCATCTTTTTCTAGCTTTCTCTGTAGGCCTCTCTGGCCCTCAAAACCCTTGTGGGTCCTGCCTGTAGTAGAAGCAGGCATATGCAGAGGCTACTGGATATAACTCAGTAGGAAAACAGATGAATAATTTCCTCAAGTGCATTCTGGTAACTTTGGGATTTCAGGGACTTCAGCCACCCACCCCTGACTTCATTCTTTCCACTGCCTCCCCTCAGTCAGCCTCCTCCAGCCAGGGTAGCCCCAGGATTTCCTCTTGCCCAGCAAACCTCCGTCCTCTTGTTACTCCTCCGTTTGGTGGTCAGGAGCCTCACCTTGGGGAGCAGCCATGGTCTGGGAGGTCAGGATGGTCATCACCCGTGGACTAAGACAGCTGAGTCCTGGGAAGTGGCACAGAGAGACTCTGTTTCCCTTTCTTCCATGAAATCCTCTCTTCAAATTCTGTTTCGGAGCTCCCACCGAGGCCCAGGCACGCTTCTTTCTGCCCCTTACTCATCTGCTCCGGCCCAGGGAGCCCCATGGGATCCAACTGTCCCGGTGCCTCCCGGACCAGAGCTGACAGTCTTGGAAAGGCACCCCTTTTGTGGGTGACAGAGGCGCCTCTGAAGCCAGAGGTAGTGTGAAAGGAAGCACAGAAGGGGCTACAATTTGATATTTACTAAAGCAAGGCTGGATCAGAGCAAGACTGACCACAAAGAGGTCTTGTCTTGTTCAGTCATGGTGCTAAGTCATTTTAGTCATGTCCGACCCTGCGACACCAAGGACTGCAGCCTGCCAGGCTCCTCTGTCCATGAGATTCTCCAGGCAAGAATACTGGAGTGGGTTGTTATGCCCTTCTTCGGGGGATCTTCCAACCCAAGGATCGAACCCGCGTCTCTTATATCTCCTGCACTGGCAGATGGGCTCTCTATCACTGAGCGCCACCTGGGACGCCCGTTCAGCCGCTAAGAGGTGCTCAATAGTAGAGTCTGTCCCTCCCCATAGCACCAGAAGGGGGAGCCCTGGGAAATGTGGTAATCCCCCAAAGCCCTCTCCTTGACCCGCCCTATCCATATCCTCCTGCTAATGTGGTTTAGGTGAACTTAACATCCTCAGATATGAACATTAATAAAACTGCAGCATCCTTAAGAGGATATGGTTAAAAAAAAACCCCAAAAGATTCAAACTTTTGATCAGATAAAATATATACACCCCCCCCCCACCCCCCAAAGTCACTACAGGCAAAACGGGAATGCAACATTCCAACATGAATTAAAAATAGACAAGCCAGGGACTTCCCTGGTGGTCCAGTGGCTAAGACTCTGCACTCCCAACGTAGAGGCCCAGGTTCAACTTCCATCAGGGAACCAGATCCCACATGCCACAATAAAGACCAGGCACAGTCAAATTAAATATGTTTTTTTAAAAAATAGACAAGCTGATATAGGTGTGAGGATACCACAAAACAACTGAAAAACTTTGAGTAGATGTAGATGAGAAGTGGGAACTGATAGGACTCAGTGAAGAAATTGCATAAAAAGGAAAAATTACCTCAGAAACCTAAACTCAAGATGCACAGGGTGAAGATATCCAACTAAGAAGATATAAAGGTAAAAACAAATGAAAGAAAATAGGGGAAATTATAGATAAGAAAAAGAGGAAACAAATTGAATCAAACTGAATATAGTTGAAAATTAAACTGTATTGAATTTTATATTGAAGAGGAATTGAAGGAAAACAAAGGAACAAAATTGATACTTAAAATGGTAATTCAGTAAAACTTTCCTCCCTCTGAAAGGAAAAGGCCCCGAATATAAATACTATAAAGACCCACTGTGTGCATAGTTGGGAAAACTGACTCAGGAGAGTCAACTTTAAGAAAAAGGCCCAGTAAAACTATTATGTCAAACTCTAGGTACTAGTTAAAAAAAAAAAATCATCTGGCCTCTAGGAAAAATAGATAAGAGTACTTACACAATAAAGAAAAATGAGAATCAGACTCTAACAGCAATGTATAGAACTAAAAATTGATAAAAGAAACCGAATAATTAGAAAACAGGGAATTCCCTGGTGGCCCATTGGTTGGGACACTGCATGCTCACTGCCCAAGAGTCCTGGGTTCGATCCCTGGTTGGAGAACTAAGATCTCACAAGCTGCCTGGTGTGGCCAGGCCCCCCAAAAAGGTAAAATAAATCAACTGTTATTAAAAACAAACACAGCTGAAGAACCAGAAAACCTACGAGGGAAAGACCAACAAAGTTTTAAGCTACTAGAAAGAATAGAGGAAACACAAATACACAAAATAATAAATAAACAAAACAAGAAAAAAAGTATAACTACTTTGCACAACTGTCAGCAAATACATTTGAAAACCTTGGTGAAATAGTCAATTTTTTTTTGAAAATTGTAATTGGTCCTCATAGAGATATGTAGAGCCCATCCAACCTATTTCCATAGATGAACTAAAGAAAGGTACTCCCAGAGCTGCCCCTTCAAAGAAAACTCCAGGTCCAGGTAAGCTCATAGAATTCTATTAACCTTTAAAGACTAGATAGTTCCAGTGTGCCTTAAACTTTTTCAGAATGCAGGAACAGAAGAAATCACCTAAATTATGTTTATGTACTAAGTATAGTATAAAAATCTGATAGATTACCCACTCCACATGCGCACACACACACACAAAAAGAAACCATAACCCAATCTCACTTAAAGATATCAATGAAGAAAACATAAGTAAATTATTTATAAACAGAATCTGTCAGCACATTGAAAAAATAATCCATAGTGACCAAATGGATTTTATTCCAGGAAGGCAAGGGTATCCATCAAATATCAAAAATCTCAGAGGCTTAACACAAGGTTTCTTTTTTATGTTGTGTGTCCAGTGGATGTCAGCATGTATGTTGCAGGTTGGAGGGAATCACCATTGCACATAATCACAGCACTTCATTTCAGGATTGTGCCAACTCAACATGAAGAAGAAAAGAGAATGTTAAGAGTCAAGTCCTGGTTCCCAAATGCTTCCACCCAGAAGTAACACACGTCACACCTACTCAACTTCCCTTGGTTAAGGCACATCATTTAGCAATGTATAACTTTTTGGTATTCCATTTCATGTCTAATTGCTCCTCTCTCTCTGTATATATTTTTTCTGGTAGTTGCTCTAAGGACTATGGGCTTCCCTAGTGGCGCAGTCTGTAAAGAATCGACCTGCAATGCAGGGGACCCCCTGCAATGCAGGAGACCTAGCTTTGATCCCTAGGGTCAGGAAGATCACCTAGAGTAGGAAATGGCAACCCACTCCAGTATTCTTGCCTAGAAAATTCCATGGATAGAGGAGCCTGGTGGACTACAGCCCATGGGATTGCAGAGTCTGATATGACTGAACCCACACGGCAGGCTAAGGATTACATTGTGTAGCCTCAGTTTGTTACAGTTGGTCATGAGTTCATCTGTAACATTTCACATACAATGTAGGCATGTCCCCATGTATGAACTATGTAGGAATGTCAGTGTATAAATAATGTAGGAATGTCACCGTATATAACTCCTTTTGCCACTTTGGGATTTGCCATTGGTATCCTGTGTTTTACTAATACTTATGCTCTATACCCCACATGGCATTGTTAACACTTGTTTTATTTAGTCAGCAGTCTTGGAGAAATCTAAAAAGATGGTCTTTTACATTTACCTCCACGCCGACTTTCTGGGACAGGAAAAGTGGGGACAGGAGGAGGACATTCTTCTCAGGAAAGCGGAAAGGGATGGGGGTGGAGGGGTCGCCTCTGGCTGGTACCTAGCTGTCCTGGAGGAAATGCAGTGGGATTCTCCTCACAGCCAGTCCTCAACCTGGACAAGAGTTGGGGGGAGGGGGGTGAATTCAGCTGCTGGGCACTCTCCAGCCTGCTTAAGGTTTTGATCAACATCTGACTGAGGGTGGGCTCTATCTTGTCCTGCCAGACCTTTCCATCTGGACAACCATCTGGGGATTGCCTGGGAATTGGGTTGATGGGTATTTCCTGGCCTGGACGAACTTCTGGAAACTCTAGTTTTAGTGGTGGAAGGGGGTGAAGTTCCCCTTTGCCTGCCGGATCATTCCTCAACTTGGGACACTTCCGCAGTAATTTGGATTGGATTTCATCATAGTTGTTTTAAATCTGTAAGGCTTTATAATCCAGCCATATCCATGCCCCGGTCACTATTCATAGTAAAGGGCATTCCACGAGTTTGAACTAAGCCCTTTGCTGATAACGATCCGGTCTGCCTTTGTTCTAGAGATTCCTTTAGCCATTGTGAGAAGGTACGCCCAGATGCTAAAGTACACAAATAAGAAGCTGAATAAAATTGACCGAGATATTTACAGAGCGCCCCCCCCCAACCCAGGGCGAAGGATGATCTTCTGCTTTTCTTGGCAGCTTTTCCCCACATTCTGGATCTAACAATAGAAACCTCTCACAAGATTATTAAGATACACTGAGATATTTGGGGACCTAGCAGTTACACCCAGGTTATCCTAGCATCACCTCTGTGTGAGTCAAGTCATTGGTTATGGGAAAAGATTCTTTGGCGCCACCTAGCGGCTTTCTAGGGTGCATCAAAGATCTGTGCTGTGCTGCGCTGTGCTGAGCCGCTTCAGTCCAGCCCGACTCTTTGCGACCCTGTGGACCATAGCCCGCCAGGCTCCTCTGTCCATGGGATTCTCCAGGCAAGAATACTGGAGTGGGTTGCCATTTCCTTTTCCAGGGGATCATCCGGACCCAGGGATTGAACCCACCTCTCTTATGTCTCCTGCATTGGTTTTTTTTTTAACCACTAGCGCCACCTGGGAAACCCTCAAAGATGACACAGATGCAAAATTTCCCAAAAAGTTCTTTTCTGAATTTGGAGCTACTTTGGAGAAGGATCAAATTTAAAAGAGCTTCCAGAGAAATCTGGTTGGAAGAAGAGGTAAGAGCAGAGGTGTATCCTGAGAACATGAAATAACTTGGTTTTGGCTCTTTGTGAATTTTGGAGGCAGACACTTAAAACTTCTCATGGCCTTTTTCTTTCACATACTCTGAGTTGGAGTTTGCTCTTTCTGCTTCCTACTATTTAATGGCACTCTGGGGCTTGGCCTTGAGATTGGAGATCCTCCTCATTGACTATTCCTAGCGAACAGTATCTCAGGTGAGAAAGATGTTCCCTCTTTTTCTGCCTGTTTGGAAAAGCAGATAGCCCCTGAGAGCAGTAGAAAACTGGTCCAAAGTTCCTGTTCTGATGAAATGGGAACTCTCATCCTGTTCCGATTTTGATTGAAAATGTTAAATGTAACAAGGGAGGGGTTTTCCTGTTGGTCTGGTGGTTGATAATAGTTGGGTGGTTAATATTTTCTGCTTCCAATGCAGGGGGCACAAGTTCAATCCCTGGTCGGGGAGTTAGGGTCCACATTTGGAGTGATACAGTTAAAAAATTTTTTTTTAATTTTCCAAATGTAACAAAGGATTATTTTAAGTCATGTGGTTTTTTTTTTAGAGAAATGTAATCATGTGCTGTTTTTTAAAAAATCTTTTACAAACTATATCCATAAAATTCTTAAAACCTTAAAAAAAAATTGGCAGCCTTGCTTAATTATATGTTGCTATAGTAATAACATTTTATTTGACAGCTCTGTTTTAAAAATGAAGGTACAACTGTTTTTAAGTTGTCCGTACTGGCCAGAGGAGCCTTCTTCCTTCTTCTTTCACCTGCATTTTAAATTAACAGTACATGCTTTGTATGTGTGGCTCTGGAATTGTGTATATGTTATGAAAGAAACCAATTTCAATAGAAATAAAAGCACAATCTTTAAAAATCAAAAGCAAAGTGAAATAAATGAAGCTAATTATATCAAGTTGGTAGCTTACTCACACAGAGAGGTCCTATTTTAAATCTTTAATTAGGTGACTTTAAGCGACTTTTTTTTCACAGTGGTGAGAAAAAACCCAGTAGTTGAATGTACATCTTTAGTGGGATATATTCTAAGGACAAAAAAGAACAGCAAAGGAATCTTACTGTTTCCAGTAATTATGTTGCTGGTAATAGCATTGGTATAGTTATTATGAAGATATAAATGTTTATGTATCAATATATATGTAAATGATTATGTTAATGTTGTTAGGAACTGCAATTTTCAGCATACATTACAAGGCATAAAATATAAAATTAAAAATTAAAGTCCTGTAATCTTAAATTTGAATCATAAATATCAGTAAGAGAACATGATGAATTTTCTCTCTAAAAGTATTAATTTCTTAGCTGAAGTATGGTCTAGAAATAACAAACAACACAGTACCAAGGAACATCCCTTGTGTGGCTTCTCAAATACCAGTGAAGTTGTTCAGTTATGTCCGACTCTTTGCGATCCCATGGACTGTAGCCTACCAGCCTCCTCCATCCATGGAATTTTCCAGGCAAGAGTACTGGAGTGGGTTGCCATTTCCTTCTCGAGGGGTTTTCCTGATCCTCAAACCCAGGTCTCCCACATTGCAGGCAGCTGCTTTACCATCTGAGCCACCGGGGAAGCTCCAGTCTCAAATACCAGTTCTCATTAAAAGGAACCAGAGTTCTTTGGAGGAAAGGATGATTCCAGTTCAGGGGCAGGAAATAGATGAGCCTGGAATATCTTATTGTATCAGAAACCAAAGAAATGATCCAAGACTCCTGGGATCACATCAAAAGAACTCAGTGACTCCCACCCACTGGCCAAAAAATGGGGGCAATTTGAGCATCAGAAAGAACAAAGATGAAGAATTAAAACATTAAATATTGAAATCCATGAATTCATCATTGATTATGTTCAAAAGATCCAGTTCGCCATCTGAAAATCAATAAAAACAAAGAAGGGAAATAAGCAGGCGTGGTCCTGCCTTTCTTGTATAATTAGACCACATGGTTACCAAGTAGATGGTAAGGGGTTTTCCTTTGTAGAGGATTTCCAGCAAGTGCATGAAGAAAGAATGATAGAATAGCATTATTTTCTTACTCCTGATAATGGCAAGAGACAGTGATCCAATGACAGCTGAAAACCATTTGGTGAAAAGTTGATGGAGACCTTTGTAATGGATGGATGTTACCATGCCTTCTGAGGTGATACAATGTAATGTGTTTAACAGCATCCATGAAGTATTCTTACAAAAATGTTTAGCTTGAATCTGATCAAGCTTCAGATTTAACTGCCAGTTTGTTGGAAATACTGGGGGTGTAGGGGTAGGGTACAGAGAAACCTTGTATTAAGTAGGGTCCCAACAGGATGTGGATGACACACTCAGGTTAGAAAAATGAGAAGAGGGTTTTTTTTTGTTGTTTTGTATTTTTTAATAAAGGTGACGGTAGAATGTGAAGGATCCTAGGATGAGGAGCCAAGAAGCCTTTGCCAAGAAGAGGGAGAAATTACCAGAAACTGGAAGGGGGGCCGTTGTGTAGAGCAGCTGTCTTGAGAGGAGCAGTCACCTTTAGTGAAGAAGCATAGCCAACTCAACATGGTCTTCTTGCAGAGGGAGCTGAGGAAATAAACACCCTGAACTCACTGTTCTCGTCCCCTCCCAATCCTACCGGGGCTCGCTATTAGCCAAGCCCAACTGAAGCCAGAGGGCAAGAGAGCCTGGCTGATACGGCCTCCTGGGGCAAAGGGCAGGGTGGAGAAGAGTGGAAGGAAGACCCGAGTGGGGCAAGTGACTGCAATCCAACAGAAACATGATAACACCGCAAGGTTGCCATCAGCAAAATCCAGAAGACCGACAAATCTCCAGGACAAACAACGCCTCCCGCCTCCCCCACCCCCTTTTGTTCTTCCATCAAATAACTTGCAAAGAGAGGGGAAAAGGGACTAGTGGGAGAACCTATAAGTTAAATAACCTTTTCCCCCTTACACAAATTGCAAAGAGTATAAAAAGAAGGTGACCTGTAAATTAAAAGACATTTGAACCACAACACAGATATGAAATGTAGACACGTGGACCCTGATGCGAATAAATCAACTGGTAAAGAAGATCGACTCCTGAAAAAATCTGGGAAGGTTGAACAGTGTCTGGATGTTTGACTGTATGATTATTAATAGCTTTTAATTTTTGGATATGATTGTGGTATGGAGAGAGAGAGATAGAGAGAGGCAGAGTGCAAGGGCTTATAGAGAGGTACATCCCAAGGTGTCTGCAAACGGAATGGTATGTCTGGGATTTGCTCCAAAATAATCATGTGGTGTGGAGGGGAGTGGGAGGGAGGTACAGAAAAAACAAAAGTCGCCATGTGTTTTCTATCATGAATCTGGGAGAGAAGTACATAAGGGTGCACTATACTTCTCTCTCTACTTTTTGTACGTGTTTGCAGTTTTCCATTAAAAGAAACAGAACAGAAGTAGCGCTACTCTTGTCTAGCCTTGTTTTGTTGCTCATGTAGTGGTCTGTCTTGGAGTTGCTTCTTTTTCATCTTTTAAAAGTGTATTTACAAAAAAAAAAAAGAGGTGTATGTGTGCATATCTGCCTCAAACATGGTAAAGAACACCAAGTGAATGCAATCAGGATATCCACATCACATACACACACTTTTTATACAAATAGTAGCATATACTATACACAGTATAACAATATACCTTGGAGATCAGCCCCCATCAATATAAAAACAGCTGCCATACTCTTTTTTCCTTTCTTTAGTTTTGTATTATGTTTAATGAATTATGCATTCATAAGATTCTGAAAAACCATCCTTCAATCCTTTGCTCTTTTATTCTAAGAAATGTGATATAATTGCAAACATTTCCCAGTAATGGGTGTTTGTCATTTGACTGGGTGGAGGTGTTTTTCCATGCAGAATTTGTTATGGGCTCAAATCAAGCAATCCTTTAAAATTGCTTTTGGGTTTCATGTCATCTTTAGAAAAGCCTTACTCATGCTGAGAAAATTAAAAACAACAACAACAACAACAACAAAACCAAGCCCGACATTTTCTTCCCATGTATTTAATTATTGCAAAGCTTTTTATGTAAAAGAATAACCCTACATAATGGCTAAGAATATAAATGTGCAACCTAACAACTTGTAAAATGAACACTGGTGCAGTCGTAATGGTTGACAAAACATTGCTGCCCTCCTTCCCAGTCAGAAGCCTCCAGTATGATTTTTCTTGATCAAAATCTCCTTTCCCCTTGTAGGAAACCACTATACCAATTTCTATAGTATTTCTTCCCATGCTCCTGTATAGTTTGGCCACCTAATTATGCATCTCTAAACATCGCCTCCAACACGCATCCATGTTACCTGTGGCCACAGTTCATTTATTCTCATTGCTGTGTAATATTTGGTTGCATGCATGTACCATGATTTATTTATTTATCCTTTTGGAATTCATCTTCACGAAGGTTTGTGGTAGGGCTCCAGTGGAATTTCTTTTCAGATGTCTAGCCTGGTGTACTAACAATATTGAGTAATCCATCTTTTCTCCACTGATTTAATGCCACCTTTATTGTTGTTAAATAACCTTACTTTCTGTGTCTACTTCCAGACTCACTCATCTGCTCCATTCATCTTTCTGTGTATTCTTGAATCCATAATGAACTGTTACTGTCACTTTATCATCTACTTTGAGATGTAACAGAGTTTATCTCTTCCAACTTCTCTCTCTCTCTTCAGGGCTCTTCTTGATTTTCCTGCATCATCTTTGGAGCCAGTTTGTTAAGTTCCAAAACAATCCTGTTGGAATATGTACTTGCATCCCATTAAAATTACAGATTGAAAGATGAAAGATGCTATCTTTTCTTTATTGATTCTTCTAACCAAAAATAGGAATGTGCCTTTTTCCTTTATTCAGGTCTTTATATCACCTAATAGACTTTGAAAGTTGTATTCATGTATTTCCATGCTTAGTGAAGCAACTGATTCCTTTAAATATTTAAACATTTGTCCATTATGTTTCATACCATAATTTATTTGATGATTCCATTTTGAATGGCATTTGAGTAAATATGTTTCCAAGATTATTCTATTACAAAGAGTGCTGCAGTAAACATCCTTGCATACGTATATTCGGGAGGGATACACTACTGCAAGTGAATTACTGTACTGAAGGAGGTTTTAAATGTTGACAGGTATTGTCAAGTCACTGTCTGAAAACAAAATCAGTTTATACTCTCCCTAAAGGTATCCACCCACTTTTTTCACACTTTGGCCATCCTGCATGTTTACGACTTTAAAATTTTTTTCTATTAATCAGTAGATTATATCATATTGTGGTTTTAGTGAATACTTCTTTGATTTCTGATCATTTATATTTCTTTTGAACATTCCCCATTCACATCTTTTGTCTAATTTGATAATGGGGTGTATCTCTTCTGCATGTGGATTTTGTATATGTTCTTTATTTTGGGTGTGTGTTTTTCCTTTCATTAAATCATGGAACGTTTATATCTTCTTTAATGTCTCATATTACAGTTTTCTAATTTTCCCCATAAAGATATCATGCAGGCTTATTCCTAGACACCTTGAAGCTTTTATTGCTATTGTAAATGGCATCTTTTGAAGAAGGACATTTTCTAATTGGTTGTTGCTGGTGTGTAGGAACATAGTTGATTTTTATCGTTGGTGTTTGTTTATTGATGTTGTATCGAACAACCTTGAAGAATTCTCTGATTAGTTCTAAATGACCTGAATGGAGAATCTGTTGGACTTTTTAATGTGTAAAATCACAGACATGCGTGGTGTCGTGTGGTCGACAAGTGATTAAGCAAGTCTTGTGATTCAGAATCCAGGAGATGGGGAGAGAGACAGATCTGCAGAGACTGGAAGAAAGTGGAAGACCTAGGAAGAAAAAGAGAAAGTGAGAGGGTCAGAGGAGACAGAGAGAAGAGCTGGGCAGAGGACAAAGACTCTGGGCATGTGAACTAAGTGGACGGGGCAGAAAAGAGGGTTTTAAGTAGTGTTTCTGGGAATGTTGTATTTCCCTTCATGGTGTTTGAAAAAAAATAGTCAAGTTGTAACAGTTGGGGGTGGGGTAGGCTGGACCGTGTTTCCATGACAACAGCAGTGTTTTAAGGGTGGGCCTCGAGGATCCTGGCTTATACCTCTTGCAGACATACACAGACCAACCATAAGATTAGGTCTAGCATGAAAGAACTAGAGAAAAAAGAAAACATACAAAATACTCTATTGATATAATACAGCAGAAAACTGGACTGAAGAGAGGCAACATCGTGGCCATTCTAACATAAGAGGAAAACCAAGAAATTGAAGAATAGTTTGTGATAATGAAAAACATAAAAAAGAATATGATGATAAAACTATAAAATGCATAAAAATAAAGTTAAAATCTATAATGTCTTAGATACATAGTATAGGATTAGGGCAAGAAAATAAAATAATAATTATTTGATAATAATACATAACAGTATTTAATATTGTTATTATTTTTTTAAAGATTTTTTTGATATACACCATTTTTTAAAGTCTTGATTGAATTTGTTCCAGTATTGCTGCTGTTCTATATTTTGGTTTTTTGGCCTTGTGGCCTGTGGGATCTTTGCTCCCCAACCAGGGATCGAACCAGCACCCCTTATATTGGAAGGCAAAATCTTAACTACTGGACCACCAGGGAAATCCCTATTGTTATTATTATTATAGCTTTCCAGATAGAGAGATCTGGGCTGGAATTCTGGATCCTCCACTCACAAGTGGTGTGAATTTGAGCAAAGGAAAGCGATCTGTGAGATTGAGAGGCCAGTGAAGAAGCCAAATCAAATATGAGATTAAAAATACAGGCTTGTGAAAGCAAGAGAGGACTTCCCTGGTGATCCAGTGGTTAAGAATCCACCTGCCAATGCAGGGGATATGGGTTCGATCCCTGGTCCGGGAGGATCCCACATGCCTCAGGGCAACTAAGCCTGTGTGCCCACAGGCTACTGAGCCCACGCTCTAGAGCCCATGCTCGGCAGCAAGAGAAGCCACCTCAATGAGACGCCTGCACACGGCAAATAGAGAGTAGCTCCTAGTCTGCAATTAGAGAAAGCCCACATGCACAGCAGTGAAGACCCAAGACAACCAAAAATAAAAAATAAAATAAAAACAAGACAAAACAAAACATGCCCGCTGACTTAAGACCAAGGGACATATCCATCTCAGCTAGAATTCCTAGACCAGGAGAGGTGGCCAGGTCACTGGCTGGGCTAGGTCTCTTATCCTCAAATCTATCTGGATTTTGTCCACAAGGTGGCAGTGTTCCAGGAGAGCCAGGCTCGGTACACAAGCGCCTCTCAAGCTCCTGTTTGCATCGCATTTGCGGAGGCCCTGCTGACCACAGAGAGTCACACAGACAACCCTGATGTGGGAGGGGCTGCACAAAGGCGGATATCAGGAGGTGTGTGCTTCATCGGGGACCTTCAATGTCATGGTGTTACCATGTAATGTACAATGTAACATGCCTTCAGCCTGCTCTTAAGCTCAGGTGAGAGCTTCCCTGGAGCAGCCCAGGCATATGAGCAGCCCGTGCAGGTGAGACCAGCAGATGGGACCAGAGCTGGTGCGGTGTGAACTGCGGCAGGGGAATGATGCTTTGGTAAGAGGGATGAACCAGGAATGGGAACAGCACAGAGGAGGTGTCAAAAGCCCAATAAGAGAAGACATACACGGCTCTGGAACAGGCAAGACCTGGGCTCGGGTCTTGACTCTGCCACTTGCTCGTTCTGTGGCCCTGGGCTAATGAACTTCTCCACTCTGTTAATTTCTTCCTTTGTGAAACCAACCTCATGGATGGTTGTAAGAATTAAATAAGATCAGTGGTTAAGCCTTCGCCTTCCAATGCAGGGTGTGAGGGTTTGATCCCTGGTTGAGGAGCTAACATCACACATGCCTCACGGCCAAACAAACAAACCATAAAACAGAAGAAATATTGTATCAAATTCAATAAAGACTTAAAAAATGGTTCACTTAAAAAAAATTTCCTTTCCAAAAAAAAAAAAAAAATCAGTGAAGCTTAGGCTGGCACAGAGGAGCAGTCTATAAATGGCATTGGTTGTGGCTAATGTGGTAAGGCTGGTGGTAAAGATAATGCTGGTCAACTGCAGACAGGATCAAGGATGCTCTGGACGGATGAATAAGTGCGGTCCATTAGAGAAGGGCAGGTGAGGGCTTCTCAGGCAGAGAACGCAGTGTATTGGAAGGCATAGGAATAGGATGAGTAGGATGTGCTAAATAAACTCGGGTGCCATTGGAGTGTGTGGGGTGACTGGAGGAGGGGGTGCCAGGGCAGACTGCATTTCCCCGAGAGGGCCGGAGAACACCTCCCGCCCCACCTGCTCTTTTGACAATGTGGCTGTTAAGAGCTGAATCATGTCTCCCAAATCCACATGGTCAAGTCCCAACCCCAGGACCTCAGCACATGACTGTATTGGGAGACTGGGTCATTAAAGAGGTGATTAAGTTAAAATGAGGCCATTAAAGATTAGAGCCCTTAACCCATCTGATTGCTGTGTTTATAAGAAGAGGAAAACATTAAAAAAAAATATTTATTTGGCGGTGGGGTCTCAGTTGTGGCATGTGGGATTCTTGACCTTTGTTTCGATATTGGAATCCAGTTCACCAACTGGGGATCAAACCCGGGCCCCCGGCATGGAGTCTCGGCCACTGGAACACCAGGGAAGGCCCAAGAAGAGGAAATTTGGACACAGAGATACAGGGTGTGTGGGCACACGGGAAAGAAGGATGCGAAGACACGGCAAGAGGGCAGAAAGTCAAGGAGAGAAGCCTCAGGGGAAAACAAACCTGCTGCCACCTTTTCTGGACTTTTAGCCTTCTGAACGGTGAGAAATCAATTTCCATCATTTAAGCAACTCAGTCTGCAGTGTTTTGTTAACGGCAGTCTTAGCAAACTAGTACAGCGACCCTGACGTTCCTCCCATCCACTGGAGGGCTCTGTCCTCTCCCCTTGAAGCTGGGTGCCGACATTCACGCTTGAACCCAGCTGCCATACTGTGAGGAAGCCCAAGCTGGCCCACATGGAGGGACCACATCAAGAGATCCTGTGTTGTAGCTCCTCCCGACCATCTAGCTGAGGTCCTCGCTGACAGCCAGCACCAATCATCAGGCACGTAAGTGAAGACTCCTCCAGATGATTCCAGTTCCCAGCTGTTGAGTCTTTTCAGCTGATGCCCCAGACACAGGGAAGGTGGGCTGTCCCTGCCATGCCCTTTCCTAATTTGGAGTTTGGCACAGAATTCATGCATGATAAAATGGTTGTTACTCCACTAAATTTGGAGTTGGTTTTTTACACAGCAACAGCAATTCTCAAAGACTCTTCCAGAACAGCGCCCACCAGACTGGCTTTCTCATATAAAAGCAAAGAACACCATTCTCCATCCCGTGCACCCCCGCCCCCAACTTTGATAGAGAGCTATTGCTGCCACCTGGTGGACAATAGAAAAAACGCACTGTTTTCCCTTTTAAAGAAAGACATTTTCATTCATTCATTCTTTCATCCCACAAACATTTCACAGTCCCGGATAGTCAAGTCCCTGATAGGTCAAGTGTAGTTTGGAAAAAAAAAAAAAAAAGTGTAATCTAACGTTACTGTTTTTTGTATGCTTTCACCTTTGGTCATGAGATTTCAAACTCCACAATCTCTTACATTCCTCTTCCAAAATCCAGAATTCTCTGAAAACTGAAAGATTTTTCATCAGATTAATAAAGCTCACTGGGAAGCTTAACCTAATCTGAACTGACATAAGGCAGTTATATCTTTCATTAACATTTCACAGCAGAAATATTAATTTATGGGGTGCTGCCCTAAGGATGCTATATAATAGACTGCATTAGTTCTCCAAGTGTGGTCCCCAGGCCAGCAGCAGCAGCATCACTTGGAAACTTGTAAAACATGGGACTTCTCAGGCTCCACCCTGGACCTATTGAAGCAAAACCTCTGGGATGGGCCCCAGACTTCTGTGCTTTACCCAAATCCTCCTGTTGATTCTGATTCACGTTCAAGTGTGTGAATCACTGATATAAAGTTTATGTCCCACATTACACTTTGTTGTTGTTTAGTCGTTGTGTCCGGCTGTTTTGCGATCCCATGGACTACAACCTACCAGGCTCCTCTGTCCATGGGTTTTCCCAGGCAAGAATACTGAAGTGGGTTGCCATTTCCTTCTCCAGGGGATCTTCCTGACCCAGGGATTGAACCCACATCTCCTGCGTTGGCAGATGAGTTCTTTACAACTGAGCCACCAGGGAAGCCGCACATGACATTTATAAAACCCCAAAGTTCTGAATTCTAAAGCACACTTGGCTCCCTTGGTTTCGGATGACAGATTTCTTGTAGACCTGTATTTTGAAATTTCAAGTCATATTAAAGGAAGTCGTGAGATTTCTATGTTTAAAAAAAGCAGGGTGGCAAACAAGAGGGAAGTGCTTCCTTGAAGGATTGGAGAAAGGGTGTGGTTAATAATAACCCAAGCTAACTTTTGCTGAGTGTTTATAACCTACCAGGCATTGTGCCAGGAGCCTACCCTCAACCACGTCCACACAGTGACGCTAGGAATTAGGTATTTTTATCATGCCTGATTTATTTTAAAGATTTTTTTTTAATGTGGAGCATTTTTAACATCTTTATTGAATTTGTTACAATATTGTTTCTGTTTTAGGTTTTGGTTTTTTGGCCACAAGGCCTATTGGATCTTAGCTCCCTGACTAGGGATCAAACCCATGGATCAAACCCACACCTGCATTGGAAGCCGAATTCTTAACCACTGGACTATCAAGGAAGTCCCATTGTGCCCATTTTGTGAATGGGAAAACTGAGGCAAGGAAAGTGAGCAATTATCAAAACTTAGAGTGGGCTACCACCACGAGCCACGGCCTTCAGTAGAGGGACACAGAGAGTTCAGATGATCTCATTTCTTCTACCCATTGATCTGCGGGTGCCTCCCTTTGGCCAAAATCTAGAAGAAGCCAGAAGACACGGGAATCCTACAGTTTAATCCCCAGTGAGGCAGAGCAGAGTGAAGGATGGATAATGAATCTGTAGCAGCCATTCTACCGCCTGTGTATATTTCATATTGGATGCTATTTCCTTTTCAATATATAAAAGTATCACACTAAAAGTATCCATTTGTAACTTGCTTCCCCCCACCCCCGCCCAACCCAAATTGCATTTTGTTTTCCAGATTTCTCTATGTTGATACAGGTGGCTTTATTTCAGTTCATTTTTTCTGTTGTTTAGAATTTCATCATCTTAAAATACCCCTTAATTCATTATGTCCACTCCCTTATGGGCCGGCATTTAGAGTGCTGCCAATCTTTTGGGATTACAAAGCCGCAAAGAAATGCCTGTTCCTACACAGGTGTGAGGCTTTCTCCAGGCCAAGTGCTCCTAAATGTGGAGTTGCTGGGCCATCTTTTCCAAGCAATGCTAGATTCCTCTCTAAAGCGGTGGTCCCAGTGTTTGGTCTCCTAACCCTAAGAAGTTCCTGTTTCACAGTCCTTCTTCTTGCTGTTCAGTCGCTAAGTCTTGTCTGATTCTTGGCGACTCCATGGGCTGCAGCACGCCAGGCTCCCATCTTTCACTATCTCCCAAAGTTTGCTTGAATTCTTATCCATTGAGTCGGTGACTACTATCTAAACATTTCAGCCTCTGCCACTCCTTTAGCTTTCAGTCTTTCCCAGCATCAGGGTCTTTTCCAATGACTAGGCGTTTCGCATCAGCTGGCTAAAGTATTGGAGCTTCAGCTTCAGCAGCAGTCCTTCCAATGAATATTCAGAGTTGATTTTCCTTAGGATTCATGTTTCATCATCCTAGGCTGCCTCAGGATGGAAAGACCTTTTTTGTGGCCATTTCTGACAGCTGTCCGCTTTTCTTTCCTGGATATTTTCTTTGTACTTCCCTAATCATTCCAACCTGGCGTGTCGCAAAGAGTCGGACACGACTGAGCGACTGAACTGGACTGAACTGATTCATTCCGAAGGTGAGCAGCTCTTCAACCAATCTGTCATTTGGGGAGAGACATCTTGCATTCTTCCTCAGGCTTTGTCTCTTAATCTTCCAAGCCTAGATTTCTAGAATTCCAAAAGAGCTCTCCTCTCTTGTCTGAGGCAGCAGTATGTGAAAAGTGCTCTGGCTCACCAGTGACTCCCTGGGTTGTGACTGTTACAGACTCTATTTGCAGTTGAGGACGGAGGAGCCACTTTGTCCCCTCTGGGTGGTGTCTGTCCTTTCCCAGAGGCAGAGTTACAAAACAACAATTGAAGGAAGACAATCTAAACTTCAGTTTTTATGACCCCCCCCAAGTATTATCTTCCTGCATTTTCAAATGCTGTTTACTGAAGTCCTAGTGTAGGCCAGGACCTGTATTGTGTTTTCCCTCAAAAGTCTCGTAAAAGGTGACATCATTCATGCAACAAGTCCTTTCTGTGTCCCCGCCTGAGTGCCCAGCTTTATTAGGTCCTGGAAATTCGGCCGTAAACAAAACAGACACGGTTCCCGACCAACGGTGTTTGTCGCTCAGTTGTGTCCACGTCTTTCGACCCCATGGACTATAACCCACCAGGCTCCTCCGTCCGTGGAATTCTCCAGGCAAGAATACTGGAGTGGGTTGCCATTTCCTCCTCCAGGAGAATTCCATGGACAGAGGAGCCTGGTGGGCCACAGTCCACGGGGTCATAAAGAGCCGTACATGACTGAGCGACTCACACTTTCATCTGACCAGAATGCTCACCATCTATATGTTAGCTTGTTAGGGCCGCCCAAAAGAAGACCACACACTGGGGGCTTGAACAACAGAAACTTCTTTTCTTATAATTCTGCAGGTTAGAAGTCTGAGATCAAGGTATCAGCAGAGTTGGTTTCTTCTTGGCTTAAAGATGACTGTCTTCTTCCACTGTCTTCACGTGGTCTGTTCTCTGCGTCTAATCTCTCTCTCTCTTTTTTTTTTTTTTCAGCTGTGCCACCTGGCTTGCAGGATCTCAGTTCCCTGACCAGGGTCTGACCCTGGGCCCTGGCAGTGAAAGCCTGGAATCCTAACCACTAGGCCATCAGGAAGCTCCTGAATCACTCTTCCTCTTCTTTAAAAAAAAAAAAAAATTATTTACTCGGCTAGGGTGAGTCTTAGTTGTAGCGTGAGGGATCTACTTCCCCGGCTAGGGATCCAATCTGGGCCCCCTGAATTGGGAGGACATAGTTTTAGCTACTGGACCACCAGGCAAGTCCCTCCTCTTATAAGAACACCAGTCATACTGGATGAGAGCCCAGTTCAAGGACCTCCTTTCCCCATCGTCTCCTCTTTAAGGGCCCCATCTCCAAACATGGTCATGTTCTGAAGTACCGCATCGTGTGGATTTAGGGATGAGGTGGGGACACAGTTCAGCCCATGACACTGTCAGATGGGAGACGCAGACATGAATCCAACAGTCACAACCACATGAACAACTCACTCAACTGTGGTTCCTGAGCCCACGAGCGCCAAAGCCAGGGGGTTTGACTGAGGGGTGTCTAGGAAGCCTCCTCTGAGAAAATGGTATCTGGGCTGAGATCTAAAAAATAGATGCAGGTTAAACAGAGAAAGAGGCAGCAGCAGGCCAGGCAGAGGGAACTGGGTGTGCTGAGAGATGGTAGCACCCAGTAGGGCTTTGGAGGAACCGAAAGGCAGTTAGAGGCAGAGGTTGTTGCGGTGACCTCTCCGGATGGTGAAGCCTTGGGCCAGATAAAATCGCTCCCCCCAACCACCAAACCGCAACCCTACCCCGGGGCCCTCTTTAAAAATTACAGATCCCATGGACTTCCCTAGTGGTTAAGATTCCGCTCTTCCAATGCAGGGCGTGCTAGTGGTGGAATGAAGGTCCCATATGCCCCACGGCCAAAAAAATTAAAAAAGAATTTTTTAATGAAAAAAAAAAAAAAAAAGCAGATCCCAGGCTTCAATGATCTACTAAACCAGAATCTCCAGGGTGTAGGTTCTCAGGACTCTGCATTCCTTCCCACTCTGAATGTTTTTTTATTTTGAAAGATACCCAACCTGCAAAGAAATTGAAAAAGAAGTGCCCTTTGAATACCCTTCACCTAGATTCACCGATTGTTAACATCTTGACCCATTTAGGCTTTTCTTTCTCTGTCCTTCGTCCTTGCCTCAGCGGGCATCCCCTAAAAATAAGATAAGGACCCCTTCTTCTGTCACCACAATACCATTATCACATTTCAGAATAATAACATTAATTCAGTAATGCTATCGAATCTGCAAACAATCGTTCAATTCTCAATGGTCTACAGAATAATTCCTTTTATAACTATTTACTTGTTCAATCCAGGATCCAATCAAGGTCCACATGCTGTGTATCTATTTTTGGTTATGTCCGTCTCATCTCTTTTAATCTAGAAGAACTTCCCACCTTAAAAATATTAGCTTTTTAAAAGAGAGTCCAGGCTTGTGGAATGCCCCACATTCTTGATTTGTCTAAATTTTCCTCATGATTAAAATCAGGTTAAGTATTTTTGGCAAGAATATGACATAGAAGATGCGAGTACATCTTATTGCATCACAAGGGGTCAGGCAATGTCAGGTCATCTCCCCCCTCTGAGATGCTGGATCTGATCCGTGGTTAAGGGGGAGACTGCTGGGTCTCTCTATTGTGAAGGTGTGTTTCCCCCCTTTTAATCAATAAATGGTCTGATTTCTGGAATCATGTGACTATTCTGTTATCCAACTTTCCACCCAGTGGCTCTAGCAACTGGGATGACTTGCGTCCCAGTAGTTGCAAAATGGTATTTGTATTTTTAATAAGTGCCCTAGGTGACTCTTCCACTCAGGGGATTGGGGAAACCCTGGTTAAGTCTAGGTAAGGGATTCAGAAAATGGAGTACTGTATCAAGGCAGCAGGAGGCATTGACTCAAATCGTTCGTGAGAATCAGTCCAATGCCTATTCCTAGGCCCCATCCTACACCCAACAGTGAGAGAGGGGTGCAAAGGACAGGCCTAGGGAGCAGCATTTTAACCTTCTCTTTCTCTCTTTTCCGGAGTGATTCTGTCTCCTAGCAAGTTGAGAAACACAGGCTTAAAGGGTGATCCTGAGGCTGGCTGCACATTGCATTTTCAACAACCCTGGGGAGTTTTTGTGATCTGTGTGTCTGTGTATCTTTAAAAGTAAGAGCCCCACCTCCAGAATCTGATTCAAACGTCCTGGGGGAGAGCCTGGCATCTCCATTTTTAAAAAAGCTTCCATTGATACTGTGTGTCAAATAGATAACTAATGAGAACAGAGAACTCTACAGAAGGCCCTGTGTGACCTAAATAGGAAGGAAATTCACAAAAGAGGAGAAATGTGTATGCTGCTAAGTCACTTCAGTCCTGTCCGACTCTGTGCGACCCCATAGACAGCAGCCCCCCAGACTCCCCCGTCCCTGGGATTCTCCAGGCAAGCTATAGCTAGTTCACTTTGCCGTACAATAGAAACTTCACAACACTGTAAAACTACTATACCCCAATAAAAATGAATGTAAAAAATAAAATACAAAGCTTCATTATATGTGTATAACTAAATCACTTTGCTCTACACCTGAAACTAACACAACATTGTAAATCAACTATGCCTGCCAAGTCGCTTCAGTTGTGTCCGACTCTGTGCGACCCTATGGGCCGCAGCCTGCCAGGCTCCTCTGTCCATGGGATTCTCCAGGCAAGAATACTGGAGTGGGTTGCCATGCCCTCATCCAGGGGATCTTCCTGACCCAGGGATCGAACCTGCATCTCTTTGACTCCTGCATTGGCAGGCGGGTTCTTTACCTGGGAAGCACCACCTGGGAAGCTTCAAAAACTCCAACATAAAATAAAAATTAAATTAAAAGAGTAAACGTAATTCTTGGACATGAAAGAAAAAATAATTGCTCATTATGATAAAAAAAAAGAAATTGATTCCTTGTGGATTCCTAACTTACCTTTCAGTTCAGTTCAGTTCAGTCGCTCAGTTGTGTCTGACTCTTTGCGACCCCATGGACTGCAGCACACTAGGCCTCCCTGTCCATCACCAACTCCCGGAGTTTACTCAAACTCATGTCCATTGAGTCGGTGACGCCATCCAACCATCTCATCCTCTGTTGTCCTCTTCTCCTCCCGCCCTCAATCTTTCCCAGCATCAGGGTCTTTTCAAATGAGTCAGCTCTTCCCATCAGGTGGCCAAAGTATTGGAGTTTCAGCTTCAACATCAGTCCTTCCAATGAACACTCAGGACTGATTTCCTTTAGGAGGGACTGGTTGGATCTCCTTGCAGTTCAATGGACTGTCAAAAGTCTTCTCCAACACCACAGTTCAAAAGCATCAATCCTTCCGTGCTCAGCATTCTTTATAGTCTACCTCTCACATCCAAATTAAAAAAAAGAAGCTTCCTTAGCGATGTCAATGTACTGCCAAGGTTGAGAGACGCTGAGCTAAGAGAGTTCTCTCTAAACGGAATGTAACAGTGAAAACCGCTTCCCCTGCTCTTCCTTCCCCCTAAACGCACAGCGACCCGGGACTCAGCCCACTTGCGGGCCAAAAACATCTGGTGTTCTCTTCACACCGCTTGTGTGCGCTTTGGGGAGCTTGCAAAACAGGTCGGAGAAAGGCCACTTCCCTCCAAAGCACAGGCACATGGGAAAAAAGACATACACAAAGACAAGCAAGCGTTGTACAATCGGAGCTTCGCAGACCAGGAAACCGATGCTCTGGAAGAGGAAATGTCTGCCGGCGGGTTCAGCAGCACCAGCACTCCTAAGTGGAGAGGTCTTTCCCCGGCTCGGTCGTCTTCACTTGAGCCTACCGTCATCTTCACGTGCCCCTCTCTAGGCTGGGCCTGGCCTGGAGCCAGCATCTTCACCAGCAGAATCAGCCACTTATGAAGGATTATTCTGGGCCAGGCACTGGAATAAATAAGTATTTGTTATTTTTATTTATTTCTGGCTGCGCTGAGTCTTGGTTGCTTCGTGGGCCTTCTCGAGTTGTGGCGAGCAGAGGTCACTCTAATTGTGATGCCTGGGCTTCGCATTGTGGCAGCTTCTCTTGTTGCGAACATGGGCTCAAAAGCTTCAGTAGTTGTGGCTCCCGGGCTCGAGAGCACGGGCTCAGTGGTTGCGGCACACGGGCTTACTTGGCTTTTGGCATGTGGGATCTTCCCTGACCAGGGATCAAACCCATGTCTCCTGTATCGGCAGGTGGATTCTTTACCACTGGGCCACCAGGGAAGCCCTAAGTATTTGTTTTTCTTGAAGTATAGTTGATTTATGGTATTGTGTTAGTTTCAGGTATAAAGCAAAGTGATTCAGTTATATATATAGATACAAACATACATGTATGTATATATATTCATTTTAAGATTCTTTTCCATTATAGGTTATTATGAGATATTGAATATACTTCCCTGTTCTATACAGTAGGTCCTTTTTATCTCTTTTATATAGAGTGGTGTGTATCTTTTAATCCCAAACCCCTAATTAATTCCTCCTTCCTCTTTCCCCTTTGGTAACCATATATTTATTTTTTATGTCTGTTAGTCAATTTCTGTTTTGAAAATAAGTTCATTGTACCATTTTTTTAGATTCCACATAAAAGTGATATCATAGGATATTTGGCTTTGACTTACTTACTTCACTTAGTCTGATAATCTCTAGGCCCATCCATGTTACTGCAAACGGTGTGATTTCATGCATTTTTTATGACTGAATAATATTCCATTCCATTCCATAACATTACTACATCTTCTTTATCCATCCATCTGTTGATGGACGTTTAGGTTTCTTCCATGTCTCAGCTATTATAAATAGTGCTGCTATGAACATTGTGGTACATATATCTTTTCGAATTAGAGTTTTTATCTTTTTCGGATATATGCCTAGGAATGGGATTATTGGATCATATGGTAACTCTATTTTTAGTTTTTTAAGGGAACTCTATACTCTTTTCCCTTGGACTAAGTATCTGTTGAGTGAATGAATACAGCCAGCCCAGCACCTGCTCACTGGCTGGTGTTAAGAACCAGTGGATCAAGTAACTTATGAAGTGAATCTCTTTGAGGCTGGATTAGCTCATTTTTTAGTAGACTCAGAAGTCTCTAGGCCTTCCTTCTTCTGAGGTGTTGCCCTACATCACAGCAATTGTATAATTCACCCTAATTCTACATTCTGTATAATTTATATGTATGAGTTGGCTTGAGTTGCAGTTGACTGGTTCACCCAAAGTTGTGTAGATATTTAATTCTCTATTTTTAAACACCAATATTTCAGATTTTATATGTTGGAGCCAACCCATTTATTTCCAGGCCCTCAAACATTTTCCATAGTCTATTAGAATGTTCACTGGCCTTAGACTATATTCTAATGTCTAATGGACGGACCATAGATGGCCTCAAAATAAAAGGAGGACCTTCCCGGGAATTCGCTGGTCCAGTGGTTACTGGATTCTGCAATTTCATTGCTGAGGGTGTGGGTTTGATCCCTGTTGGGGAACTAAGATCCCACAAGCTGTGCGGCATAGCCAAAAAAATTAAAAAGGAGGAACTTTCTTGCCTGGGGTAGAAGAGAGAGGTTTAGACATGGTCAGTGCTGCTTTCAAGGACCAGGGTACAGTTTGACTTTGTTGGGGGGGGGCGGGATACTTTATTGAGATGTAATCCACATACCATATAACTCTTCCATTTAAAGCTGTGGCCCCCAGCCTTTTTGGCACCAGGTATTGGTCTCATGGAAGACAATTTTTCCATGGACTGAGGTTGTAGAGGATGGTTTTGGGGTGATTCAAGCACATTACACTTACTGTGTACTTTATTTCTAGTATTATTATATCAGCTCCACTTCAGATCATCAGGTATTAGATCCCACAGGTTGGGGACCCCCTGATCTAAAGTATACAATTTAATAGCTTTAGTATAGTCATAGTCATGTAACTATTGCCCCAGTCAATTTTAGTTCATTTTTCAACACACCAAAAAGAAACTGGTTATTACATCAATCATATTTCATTAAAAAAAAGAAAGACAACTAGTGCCCATTATTGGTTACTCTCCATTTGCCCCAGATATCCTTCCCAACTCTAGACAACTATGAATTAACTTTCTGTTAATTTATAATTTAACTTTCTGTTAATCTATAATTTCTTTATAGATCTGCCTATTCTAGACATTTGATAGGAATGGAATCATACAATACGTGGTCTTGTGACTGGCTTCCTTCACCGGGCATAACATTTTCAAGGTTCATGTTGTGGCATGTATTCATACTGCATATCTTTCGATTGTCAAATTACATTGCACTGTATGGATACACTATGTTTTCCAGATCCATTCATCATTTGATAGAGATTTGGGTTATCTCCCCTTCTTGGCTATTATGAATAACGCTGCCATGAACATTTATGTACAAGTTTGTGTGGACATTTGTTTTTACTTCTCTTGGGTATATACCTAGGAGTGGGATTGCTGGGTCATCCAGTAACTCTATGTTTAACATTTTAGGGAACTGCCAGACTGTTTTTCAAAGGGGCTATACCATTTTACACTCCCACCGGCAATGCCTAAAATTTCTAATTTCTCCACATCTTTGTCAACATTCGTTATTACCTGTCTTTTTGATTGTAGTCATCCTAGTAAGTTTGAAAGTGTATCTCATTGTGGTGTTTTCATTTGTTTTTGGCCTCGTAGCTTGTGGTGTCTTAGTTCCCTGAACAGCGATTGAACCTGGCCCAGCAGTAGAAGCACCAAGTCCTAACCACTGGATTGCCAGGGAATTCCCTCATTGTGGGGTGTTTTTTTGGGGGGCTGTGCCTGTATCTTTAGTTGCAACATGTGGAACCTTGAGTGGGATCTTGAATTGCGGCATGCAGGATCTAGTTTCCTGATCAGGAATCAAACCTACGGCCCCTGCATTGGGAGCGCAGAGCCTTATCCACTGGACTACCAGGGAAGTCCCCTCATTGGGGTTTTGCATTGCATTTCCCTAATGGCTAATGATATTGAGCATTTTCTCATGTGCTTGTTGGCCACTTGTACGTCTTCTTTGGAGAAATGTCTGTTCTCACTCCTTGTTCATTTTTTGTTATTTGCCTTTCTATTACTGGGTTGTAAGAGTTCCTTATATATTCTAGATACAAGCCCCTTATCAGATACATGCTTTGCAAATACTTCCTCTCATTCTGTGGGTTCTGTGGGTTATTGTATTTGTTTGCTAAGGCTGCCATATCAAAATGTCAAAAATTGGGTGGCTTAAAGAACAGAAATTTCTTTCTCACAGTTCTGGAGGATAGAAGTCCAAGATCAAGGTGTCTGCAGATCTGCTTTTTCCCGTGGCCTCTCTCTTGGACTCGTAGATGACCATCTTCTCCCTGGGCCCTCACATGGCCTTCCCTCTGCACGTATCCTTGGTGTCTCTTCTTCTTCCGAGGACACTAGCTATATTGGATCAGGGCCCCACCCTAAGGGCCTTAGTTTGACTTAATTACCTCTTTAAAGACCTTATCTCCAAATACAGTGTGAGATACTAGAGATTAGGACTTCAGCATGTGAATTTGGGGGGAATACAATTCAGCCCATTACAGTTATATTTTCACTTCTTTGATGGTGTCCTCTAAAGCATTTTAATTTTAGTGAAGTCCAACTTGTCTGTTTTTTCCTTTGTTGCTTATGCTTTAGGTGCCATAGCTAAGAAAGACTTCTTATTCCAAGGTCATGACTTATGTCTATGTTTTCCTCTAAGAGTTTCATAGTTTTAGCTCTTATGATTCAGCCTTATCTGTTTTGAGTTAATTTCTGTATATGGTGTGAGGTAGGGGTCCAACCTCATTTTCTGTTTTTTCTTTTGCATATGGAAACCCCGTCGTCCAGCACCATTAGTTGAAAAGATGATTCTTTAAATTGTCTTGTCACTCGTTGAAAAGCAATTGGTCCTAAAAGTAAGGGTTTTTAGCTGGAGTCTGTTTTATTCCGTTGATCCCCACCTACCCTTATACCGTATTGCAATCTTGATTATTGTAGCCTTGTGGTAAGTTTTGAAATCAGGAAGTATGAGTCTTCCACCGATTCTGAGTATACTTATCTTCAACATCAAAATGTTTTTAATGGTGTAAATGAACAGCACAGCATGGGGCCCATACTCAAGGCACCATTTTAGGAAGGCAGGCTTCAAGTTATATGCAGGCCTCAGAGAGATGGACTCCCACCCTCTCAGCCTACAGCTCTTCAGGATAAATCAATGGAAACATTCTGCAGAGAACAGTGATCCCCAGGGTTACTTCAAACATCTCTAAGTTTTCCCCACCTGTTCTGCTCTCTAATTGCTCTACTCTGAAACAGTGTCATTCAAAACTGGATTATTAATGAACTGAGAGGAAGCCAGGGGGCAAATTGGGGAGCTGGCTTTCAGAGAAACTGGGGAGTTTGGGGGCAGAGAATAAACCCAATCCAGGGGTTTTCGCTTCCCCAACAAAGGTTAGGGGGGATTTCTTAGCAAACAGAAAATCACTAAACTCAGGTTATAGTGTCAGCCTCCGAAGAAGGTTGCTATACAGTACCGAGTAAAGGAGTTCTTTGAACAAGACTGCTAGGAACTGAACTATCATCCCCGAACTCCTCAAACCTAAGCCTTCTCTGCGCCCCTCTGGCTGGCCCTGGGGTGCCTCGGGCTCTAATCTGGAGGCTGGGAAAGCTCAGGAAACAAGGCCCTTTGTGCAGAAGAGAACTCTATTGTTCTAAAGCCAGTATTCAGCGAGTGTGGATTCCAGAGAATGTTTGGGGATGGATTTGTTTCCCTTTGTTAACTTTCTCTCCTCTTCCTGGGGGGTGGGGTGGAGAGAAGGGTCTTCTCAATACATTGTCCTGTAGAGAAAAGATGGTGCTGAGTGCAGGGGCCTTCAGCCCAGGAAAAAGGATTGGGTTAGATGACAGGGGCCACTGGCTGTGTTTTGCTTTCTATTTTAAGCGTTAGATCTCAGGAAGGCAGCCCCTTTCTAGATCCTGCACCTCCCAAACAGGGGCAGACGTCAGTGGAGGTACAACCGCTTCCTTCCTCCTCCGCTTCACCTCGGTCCCTCCCAGAGAGAGGAAATGATGCGGTTCTATGTCGCCGTCCACTGCCCCCCATTCTCCCACCCCGCATTTGGGGGACTGGCTCCCACAGACCTGTCCCCAGGGCAAAGCCTGGCTGGGCTCCTTGACGTCCTAGGAAGCCTTCTGATTCAGGCTTCAAGGTAGGAGGAGATGTGAACTGCCGGCACTGGTTTTAACGCTGTGTGACCTTGGGTGGTTTACTGCAGCTCTCTGGGCTTCGTGATGCCCTTCCATCAAAAGGGAGCAAGAACACCGTCCTGGGCTTCCCCCTTTCCAAAGCGGTGATGTTGGAGGGTGGGAGGAAGACCGTAAGGAAAACTCTTTTCCGAACCCTGGTCGCGTCTCATCTGCCTTCAATTTCTAGCTGCTCAAAGGTGGTGGTGGAGGGTGATAGGAGACCCTTGCCGGCAGCTCGGGTGCCGTCCAGGTCGAGTCGAGAGCGTGCCCACCCCCTTCCCGCGAGCTCAGGCCCCGCCTCGGGGGAGGAGCCGAGGGGCGGCGCGGAGGCCGGCGGCCGTGCAGAGCTGGCTTCTGTCGCCGCACCAGCAGCTGCGGCTCGGGGACGGAAGGACCGAGCCAGGGCCGGGAGCCGCCCGGGGCAGGGCTCGGGAGAGCGGGTGAGTTCCCCGGCGGCGCCGCCGGCTGCCCTGCTCTCTGCGGCTTGACCGGGCGGGAGATGAGGATCGCGGCGGGGAGGTGGACCCAGCCTCTGAGGGTCTGGCTGGGGGGGTGTGTGTGGAGCTTTGGCTAAGGGCCGGCGGCAGGAGATAACTCGGTGGCGGAGGTGGGGGGGGGCGGGAGGGAGACTGGAAAGGCGGGTACCAGGCGAGCAGGGCTGGGGAGTTGGGCTGGGATGGGGGCGTTCTCCCGGGTCTTGCGCGCCAGAGACGAGGCCAGGGTACGGGGCGCATTGGCAGGTTGCTGGCTGGGGTCTCCGTAGCTGGATCTTGGGGCGGGCAGGGAGCTTCTTGGCTGATTCTGGGCTCTTAGGCAGCCTTCTGCCGAAGGGGCGCAATGCCGGGCAGAAGGAGCCCCAACCGTCACCAGACAGTCCGGGTTTGGCACGGGGGCGCCGCCCCCTCGCGTGGCGGCGCTCGGTCCCCGCAGGCAGTGGCAGGGCGCCGGGAGCGCTCCCTGCCTGGGCGGGAAAGGTCCCCAGGGCAGGCGCCCCCGCGTGCAGACCCGCCCCCCGCGGGATCTGGCTGACAGCGCCCCGCGGCCCCGGGGGAGACCCCAGCGTCGTTGTTCCCTACCTCCCCGAAGGGCCGCCGTGCGCCCGCGGCTGGGTCCCCCGCGCCTGGAGCGCGCCTCTCCTCCTGAGTCCCGCGCATCGACTCTAGCCGGAGGAGCGCCCCCGAGCGCCTAGGATGGACTGAGTCCATGCAGCCTTCCTCCGAGAGGTCGCGTAGAGGGGTCTCCCCAAGGTCACCCGAGCCGCCCAGACCGTCCCGCGTGGACAGCTAGAGATGCGGGGTATTCGTCTTCCCTGAGGCCGGCCGACTCCACCCTCCCCCAAAGCCATCCCCCCCCGCCCCCCAACCTCCTCCAGTTCGGACCGGCTTAGCGGGAGATGCTGATGATGCAGTTCCCAGCCTCGCGCGGATAATTGGAGCTTTGAATCTGGCCCTCCCAGGAGGGCCGCGCGGAAAGCCCGAGACTCGGGAGCTCCCGGGCATCTCAGAAACCCAGGGAGAGAGAGACGCGGCTTCCTAAGAGCTTCTCAGAACCGAAAGCCGAGCTCCTTGCGCGCGCATGTGATTGAATTCCACATAATGGGCCGCTGTTCTCGCTGTCAGAAGCGCCCACCCGCTCTCGGCGGCCCTGGGCACCAGGTGCCGCCTCTGAATCGCCCTCTGTGGAGGACCCGGGGCCCCGGGGTACCAGGCGCCTTTGCCCGCCGGGCTCTCCTGGGAAGGCGCCTGCCGTTAGCCTACTGGGCCGGCGCGGGTACTTCCCTGAGGGCCCTGCCATTTCCTGTGGCTGGCGAAGCACCGGAGAAAAACCCTCTGTCTGGGAGGCCTCCTCCGAGGCTGGTCATAAGCATCTTAGCTTAGCAAGTGACTCGCTTTCTTCCCGAGGGCAAGGCACTTGGCCTCGGAGAGCCTCAGTTGCCTCTAGGAGATGGAGCTAATCAGGCCGTGGGAGGATGGGGGCAGGACCGTGTGAGGTTCTGGCGGCGGGATGCTCCGAGGTTAATACCCGGGCCTTTCAGAAAGCTTTGGAGTGGGGCGTGTCTCCGTTTAGGCAGGAGCAGAAGTGGAGCCCTGGTGGGTGGTTCTGCAGGCGCTGGGGGAGTTTCCACATCTTCCTCCCTCAGCTTTGTCATCTAGAGGCAGCTTGCTGGCGGCTGGTGGGCGCTGGTGAGTCCTTTGAGCTCCCAGCCTGCTCCCGAGCCTTCCCACACAACTCCCTTCCCCAGCCCCTCATCTCCCACCTGCCACCAGGATGTCGGAGGCAAGATGTCAACGAGGCCACTTTGGACCTTCAACTTCGTGCTTTCCTGTGAACTGGAGTCTCCAGCAGTGTCCCTCTCCCTGGATCCTTCCTGACCCCTCTCCTGGTCCCAGCTCGTCCCAGCCTCTGAAATGTCTTCTTCAGGAAGACCACTTGATCCTTCCTCCCCCATCTTTTGGTCTCCTCCCACTATGCCATTCGTCTGCCAGGCTCTGGGTTGGGGCTCCCCGAATCCCTGTGCTCTCTGAATCCTCCCTGGTTTGGAGGGTCATGGCAGGCAAGGTCCAGTGCACGCGCAGACTTTGTTCTCTTTGGTAACTGACACAGGAGAGGAGGTTAAATTCTAATCCAGCTGTTAAGTTCGGGAGCTGGAGCCATAGGGCTAAGAGGATGCTGACGTAGGAAAGTGGGTTTTCCCCCAAGGCAGTAACCTTCTGCAGAGCTTCTTTGTTCTCTTTGGAAACTGGGGTCCCAGGTTCTTCTCAAACCTTGCTCCATACCCAGAGTCAGTGTTCTGTAATCAATGGAGTCTGCAGCCAGCCTGGTTTTTTTGTGGGTCACGGAAGGCAGTACCTGGATTCCTGGGCTGTGTTTGGACTTTCAGGAACCTCTGCCAACTTTTGACCCCTCTGCCAATCCAATCACCCCTACCCCCATGCCACCTGCACCTGGGACATGAAGCACTCAGTGTAGAGTGCATCCCAAGTGGTATTCTTCCAGCAGAGGCTGGGATGGTCTTTTTTTATCCTGAGTTCATACTAGACACTGAGATCTTATTTTTTTGGTTGTGCTGAGTGTTCGTTGCTTCACGAAGGCTTTCTCTAGCTGTGGCGAGTGGGAGCTGCTCTTCATTGTGGTGCACGGGCTTCTCATTGTGGGGGCTTCTCTTGTTGCAGAGCACAGGCTCTAGGTGTGGGGGCTTCAGTAGTTGTGGCACACAGGCTTTGTTACCCTGCAGGATGTGAAATTGTCCCAGGTGCCAGGGATCGAACCGTGTCCCCTGCATTGGCAGGCAGATTCTTAACCACTAGACCACCTGGGAAGTCCCGAGACACTGGAATTTCGGGAGGGCTAGGACAAGCCTGTCTCCTACAGAAGGCCACAAAGTTGGAAGAGCAAGGGAGCCAGATAGGTCTAGTTCAAATGACAGCTCTCTGCCTAGAAGCTCTGCGACCTGGGTAAATTATTTACTCTCTCTGACTCCTGGTTTTCTCATCTGTAAGGTGGGAGTGATAGTAATGCCTCCTCTGTGGGGTTGTGAGGATTCTCTGAGCCCGTGATGCATAGAAAGTGCTTAGTGCAGCACCTGGTGAGTGCAGGAATGCAGGAAACGATTATCATCACCACCACCATTTCCTCCTTTGCACTGGCCTCTCATAGGTCCCCTCGCCACCCCCTCCCAGTCCAGGGGAAGTCAGAACTCTCTGCCTCTAGCTAACAGGACAGGGAAAGCCCCTCAAGCCTGGGGGCGGGAGGGGGTTGCTTTCTGGGAATCCAAGTTCAGCATCAGCCTGTCTCTAGGAAGTCTGTCATTTCGCCTTCTCCTCTGGCTGCCATTTTGCAGGGTCTGTTGATTCATCCAACAGACGTTTACTCCCTTTTAGCCATTGTGCTTAGTGAGGGATTTCAAGATGAATAAGGCAGCTCTCAGAGGCTTCTCGATCTACGGGCAAAAAAACGATAGTGAGAACACAGCTTCCCTGGCAAGAAGAGAAGTGAAGAGTAGAGGGAGGGATGAACAGGTGGCCTCAGCTAACGAACCCAGGCTTCATCCCTGAATCTGCCACCTCACAGCTAGCTGGTGATGGACAGATGTGTTACCTCTGACTGGTGATGTGAGGAGAAAAGGGAACCACGTGGGTAAAAAACCTCAGTTCAGAGCCTTCTACATATTAATCACTGCTTGCACGTGTTGGCTGCTGTTTTTTTTTTTTCTTTTTTTTTTTACTTATTTGGCTGTGCTGGATCCTCGTTGCTTTGTGGACTTTTTTCCTCTGGGGGCTACTCTAGTTGCAGTGAACGAACCTCTCATTTCAGTGGCTCCTCTTGTTGCAGAGCACGGGGTCTAGGGCACAAGGGCTTCAGTAGTTGCAGCACCTGGGCTCAGCATTTGCAGCTCCCGGGCTTTAGAGCACAGACTCAGGAGTTGTGGTGCATGGGCTTTGTTGCCCTGTAGCATGTGGGGTCTTTCTGGACTGGGGATTTAACCTGTGTCCCCTGCATTGGCAGGCAGACCCTTTACCACTCAGCCACCAGGGAAAGCCTGGCTGCTATTATTATTAGTCTGCAGTGATCAATAGCAGGTGGGCAAATTTTGCTTGTCGGGGCACATTTGAGCCCTTCAGACACAGTTTTCCAGGTGGCAGATAATAAGGTGGGATGGGGGGAGTGGGCAGCCTGAGCTGAGAAAACAGCTTGTGCAAAGACGTAGAGGCTTAAAAAGTGTTTGGTGTCTTAGAGAGCAGTGGGCAGCGTTAACAGCTGGAGGGCCATCACCGTAGGGCATGATGGAGGCAGGAGCAGGAGGCGAGGCCAGGGAGCAAGAGGGTGTTCTCTTAAGGGGTTCCGAATGATTAAATGCTTGTTCACCCAAAGCAGGCCTCCTGCAACTTATGAGCTATCTGAATCCAGTCTAGAATTTACTTCTGCAAGGGAAGAATGGCTGGCCTGTGCACGTTTGCTGATATGTTCACTGTCCTTTCCTCTTCCTTCTATCCGGAAAGCACAGAAGTTCCCTCCTTCTTCCTGAGATGCTTTTGCTACTTGTGCACCCGTGTCTCTCACCCTGGGATGTTTCTCATTTGGAGGAAGGGGGTGTGGGTGGAGGAAGCATCACCATCTCGCTCCCTTATTGACCATAAGAGGGTACTAAGTGCTTTTCTGGATGTTGGTCACTGTCCAAGGTCTTTGCTTGTATTGCCATCGAATCCTCATACAGACTTCCTGAAGTAGATGTATTTATCCCCACTGTACAGAAGGGAAAACTGAGGTATAGAGGGTGAGGTGATTTGCTAAAGGGCTTATAAATGGTGAGAACTCATGTCTAGAGGTCTCTGAAGTTGCTCTGTGCTTATGTGTACCACCTCATGTGTGCTCTTGGTAATGCTGCATGCAGAATGTCTGGCTTCTTTCACCATGCACTCATGGATGCTGGACTGCAGGCACCTTGTTGATGGGTGACAGTGGGGTGTGCTCCGGGTATCTTGCGACTACCCTAGTCTCTCCTAGCCTTGACTTTTGGGAAGTTCCTGAGTACAGGCGCTTGGTGATGGGGAGCTATTCTTGGATGATTCAGAATTCAAGGCGACCTTCCTCGGCCCGCTACTGTCCCACAAACGTGCCTTGAAGCAGGCAGTTTGCAGCTTGATTGATGCAGCAGGTGGTGACTGAGCTCCATGGTGACCCCAGGAAGGAATGAGTCTTTTAGGATGGTGGGGTTAGAGCATCACGTGACCACACACCCTACCTGTTTACAGAAGACATCAAAACAAAGGCTCGAATTTCCTTTTCCACAGGAGGCAAAGTTCAAGGCCAAGGTTCAAATCCTGCTTTTGCCTTTCACTGGGTTTTGGGCCTCGGCCAATTTTTTCACTTCCTTGCACTTCAGTTTCTTCATGCAGAAATACAGATGCATGTATGTATGTGTGTGTATAATTCAGGGTTGTGATAAATAAAGATTTCTAATCCAACATAAAATTGACTTCAACATCATAGATATATTGATGTAACGTCCGTAAAATTTTCCTCCATGGTGCTTAACATAACTGTGATTGTATGGCTATTTGTGGTCATTATTCTTTTACTGTCTGTCCCACGAGGTCAGTGGTTTTCGGCTGCAGGTAGCTTGGCTCTCCAGGGGACATTTGGCAATGTCTGGAGACATTTTTGCTTGTCACAAGTGGGAAAGTGCAGAGGGGACAGGGAGCTACTGGTATCTAGTGGGTTGAGGCCAGGGATGCGGCGAGATACCCTGCAGCGCCCAGGGCAGTCCCCCTCAACAAGGAGTTGTCCAACTCCAAATGTCAACAGTGCCAGATTTGAGAAGGCTCACACTGGCCATGAGGCCCCTAAGGTCAGTGACTGTGTCTGATTCATTCAGCCGTGTGTCCCCAGTTGCCCAGCATGATGGCGGGCACACAGGAGACAATAAGCATTAAAGGGATGAATGAGGACTTGGAAGGCCTTACGTCTCTTGGAGTCCAGGAGGTTTGGCTTGTAGGACATTTGGAATGAACAGGAGAGAGATGCAGATGAACTTGAACGATGACCGTTGGTCATTTAGGCCAAAGAAATTCAGACCAAAGCTATTTTCCTTCCCGCCTGCCCGCCAAGAAGGCGCTTGGGGGCCCGAATTATCTGAATTGTTCTATGATCACGGCTGCACTTTGCTCACAAAGACACAGGTCCTCCCTTTATCTGGACGGGCAGGCTGGGGCGGGGGAAGGTAGGTACTCACAAGGACACCCTCTCAGCTGGGCCCCTGGGATTTGCCAAGCTGGGGTACAGCTGCTGTCAGC